TCTTCTTCGACCTTGCCAAACGCCTGGGAAAGCGACTCCTCTTGCCAGACCTCGAATATATTCAGTACTCAGTAGCCAAAGACGCCACCGGCGGAGCGACATGAAACAATCAAACATGTCAATCATCTGGCCAGCAACAAGGACAACCCTGGAGAACCATACGCGCTAGCAGTATTAGTATTCCCCGGTGTTCACTTAATTCATCGCGGATGGACACATGCTCTTACAATTTTGCAGGAGTTATGCACCAGCTATAGATGCACCAGGCTGTGCTCGCAGCATGCGGCGGACAATAATTCCGAATAACGTCTGCCGGTCGATGGAAAGAAGGTAGTGGAGTCGCGATGCTTCAATGTGGTCATTCCTACAGCAAGATTAGATAGCAGGCGTCAAAGCAATCAATGCCAATGTGCACATGCGACGCATACTGGTGTACAGATGAAGCTCGCAGTGTCTATCGTCTATTGCTGCTTCGCGAATACTCTACGGAGGTTGTCCCAGACAAGTGCCGGGGACTGTGCTGCGTCAATCGGTCGCCACAGACCCTTGGCCTTGTAGTACTCCACCACAGGCCCAGTCTGTGTGTGGAACACGGCCAGACGCTTGCGCAGAGCCTCCACGTTGTCGTCTGAACGCTGCACGAGCGGTTCGCCCGTGACATCATCCACGAAGGGCTTCTTTGGAGGGCTGTTACGCAAAAGAGTGTCCAGTTCATGCAAATGTTTGCAAAGACGGCGGCACTTACTTGAACTCCTTGTGGTACGTGCGGCCGCTAGCAGGGTGGATCAGACGCCCGGTGATACGGGAATTCAGTAGCTGATCGTCATACACGAGTTCCACGACAGAGTCGAGCTTTTCTTTGCGCGCCTGGAGCATGGAGTTGAGTTTCTCGGCTTGGGGGACTGTTCGCGGAAATCCGTCCAGGACGAAGCTGCAAGAGAAATGCAACAATGAGCAAAATTTGACTGTCAGAACGGGTGGAACCAAAGACTGCCCCGACACGAAGCACATGGAAAAGAAGTCGGTTGGCAGGGATTGATCTTGCCACAACAAAACAGTAGAAGTCGACCCAGTGAGCTCGAAGAACTCCGGTTTGGCCCCGTAACACAAGTTCGCTAAGCTCGTGAAGAGGACGCGCTATCCGCGTACCCTTCCCTCCCTTGCCGCGTTCGATGTTCCGAAACACGTATGCTCGGGTGGATATCCTGAAGCCTCACTCGCGCATTTTTACAATAGAAGAGGCTCTCGTTCAAGACGTGGCTTGCCGGGGGATTTCTCGCATATTGCGAGAGAATCGTTTCGTTTCCATGTTCGGAGGCAACACACAGCTCCGCCATCCAAGCGCCGACTTCTACTGCTTTGCACCTCATTCGATCAGCCTGGCGAGGCCACTTCTATACTGTTTCTGTCGCCCTTGACATCAACAGCAGCAAGATATGGGCGCCACGATGCGCAAGGCTTGGTAGAATCGATAGGCAACATACATTCAGTGAAGTACTCACCCGTTCTTACACTCCTGATTGTGCTCTAGCTGGTCTTTGATCATGCCGACCATGATGTCATCGCTCACGAGGCCTCCCGCATCCATGATTTTCTTCGCCTCCACGCCGAGCTTCGTCTTCTTCGTGACCTGTTCGCGGAGCATGTCGCCCGTCGCGAGGTGGCACACGCAGAACTCCTCACGAATCCGCGGCGCCTGTGTACCCTTCCCTACGCGTCACAACCGCCAGCTCAGCCTCCGCCGCAGACTACGAGCACCGCACACGCACCTGCGCCCGGCGGACCCATGAGGATTGTGCGCAACTGATGCGCTGGCGTCTTATGTGACGCGACTGCTTTCTTCGCTTTCGCCTCCAAGGCCTCGATCTTCGCGTTCAACTGCGATACAAGTGTCTTGAGGTACTCGAGTTCGTCTGAGGCGGCCATTGCGACGTGGAAAAGAGATGAACGAAAGACGGAGAAACGAGTACGGCCGAACGAGCGAACGTGCGGATGGCAGGCTCGCGCGGCCGGTGGGGATTTCTCTCGGCAATTCGCGTGGGCATAGGACGGAGTCGCCGATCCCCCCGCGCCTGCGATGGCACGCGTCGTGATTGGCTGGCCACGTGGAACCCACTACGCACTTCGCCGCCAAAACCGGAAATGTTTGCAAAATGGTTCAATATTCGAAAGATGTTGCATTCCGAGGACGCTACACCGCAGGTGATTGCGGTGTCCCCACGACTGCCCAAACTGATACACGGAGTGGGAACTTGACCTAGCATGCGTAAGGATTGTTTACCACAGGATCATCATGACATACTCTCGGAAAGAGTTCCTTCAGATTGATACAAAATTCAAACTCGGAGATTAGGTACAAAAAAGGAGGGATGGAACTGTGGATTTCCGGGTGGTCCTGAAGCTCGAACTCACTTTCGGATCCATCTGGTACTACGCACAGCCGTACATCGGTTGTTCTGCGTCAATGTACGTTATCACGTCAACTGATATGACCGAGCAGTAAAAGACTGGCTGTGTTTAGGGAGTCTTGGGAGTGGTGATGCTCAGTTGAACACTCATGGGATGGTCATCACGGGAGGCAGACCCGGCAAGCTTCGCACAACATACCACAGCATGTATTACATCCAACCAGCAGGGCACGGGTATCATACATTAACTACCATCTACTCCGATTTGGAGCTTTTCGCCTTCTTACCAGGCTGAGGCTCGACGCTGTCCCCCGCCAGCCACAGCGCGCAAAACAGAACAAACGCGACGCTCGTACTGATCGCGCCGGCGTAGTAGGGCCACGCTGGGCTAAGGAAGCGCGGATACTCATCATGCCGCGGTGGCACGACAGGTACGACTGTCGTGCTCTGCAGGTAGGACCAGCTGTAGTGAAAGGTGTCAGCTACGTCCCTGATGTCCAGATTATGTAATGATCGGCATTTACCCTCTGCGCTTGTAGTCGACGACGAATTTGAACACGCCATGCCTGTCAGGGACACGGAATGTAACAGAATAATTTCCTGCCTCGCCGGCGACTGGCGGTAGGATTGTGCGAATGTGCGGGTCAAGCATCGTAAACTCGAGTTGCATATCATTTATGCCGGAGTACGGTTCCCACGTCGACGTTTGCGGGTTGAATTTGGATATGTGCATTGTATATGTCTGAGCGAGTATTCATGAAGAGTACACAACTAAACGAGAGATACACCCGACGTACGACATGGTTGTTGATGGTGTACTGGCTTGCTGATTCAGTCTCATTGACACGATGGTGAGTGACGCTGTCGATTCTCAGCATATTTGTTTCCTGGAAAGTCCATGCGGCAATGTCTGCAGCAAACTGTGCATTTCCTGGATGCACACCCCTACATGTGTACTAATGAGCAGGTAATATGCAGTGCGACGAAAGTACTTACCCTGGTAGTTCTCTCTTGAAAAATTCATCGTTGAAGAGATCCACGCTCCCTACCCAAGTTGCTCTGCCTCCCCCAAGGGTCTGGAAGCCAGCGACAAGTCCCAATGAGCTCCCCGCCCAGAGACCCTCGCCGCCCTTCTCTGACGCATCAACGAGCGCGTCGGCGCCGGAATCGCTGTCAGAATCCGCAGCAAAGCTCTCGACAGGAGCATTGAGTATCGGTACAATATGCGGATTGCTCCCGAACGCGAAGGGAACGCCGGAGAACCATACTGGCGGGATGTTTGGCGAGAGGACAGCGTGTGACGCCGGCACGTTAACAGGGATTACAGTGGCGGGCGTGTCTCTCTCGGGAAAATGAGATATGAGAGGTGTGCCTGGAGGAGGAAGAATGAGGGAGAACTCGGCCGCGAGGGATGTCAATGGTGTCTGTTTTGTCCCGACGGCTATGAGGAGGTTCGTATTTTTAGAGAGGAGATCCACGAGGGACTGTGGTGTAATGTCCGAGGCAAAGTCTACCGGGAAGATGTCAGGGCTGTGTTGCAAAACGGAGATAACGGCTTACTCTTGGAGTCCGGCGCGAACAGGATGACATGCGAGAAGTTCGGATGGTCATCTGCAATCACTGCAGGTTGCACATCCTTCGGCGCACGGAAGGTGAGTTCAAATCCACGTTCTATAAATCCCATGTCAATCCCTACTTGCACCTCCCAAAATACGCGGCCACGCACCTTCCAAACCATCGAAGAACGTCGAGAAGTTGGCCCGCTTTAGCCCCGGGTCGAGCACGACGAGCACGGAATCACCGGTGCTCGACCTGGCAAGTACAGAATGCGCGAGATACGCTAACGAAAGAAGCAGGGGCCATAGCGAGAGCATGGCAGCAGGACGCAAAGTCGCATGCGCAGCTGCTCGAGTTGGGATACCGTGATGTCGACGTGGTCGACGCGTAGCGCTGCTTACGTAAGGTGCTAGACTACGCTTCACTGAAGTTCTTGAAACGGACTCACATTTGCCTTGCTTTTCAGCTCCGTCCCTTGGTTCCGCGAAGAAGAGTTTTAGCTAGTCGGCGCATGTGTCAAGCTTTATTTAGCGACCTTCTCTTTGACCGTCAAACCCGACGAACCCTCGCGGCTATGCCAGTGAGCCAAGAGTCATTCAATGCTCACGGTGTCCGAAGCTCAGCTGGAACGTGTATTTTCCGATCGGTATATGTGAATACTGTGCCTGTCGTATGCTTTTAATACGCCTGAACGGCCATGGTGACTGCTCGAGAAAACTCGCGGAATGTGCACCGAATTATAAACGGGAGCGCTCCGGTATGTTCGATGTATCCAATATATCACCACAAATTGTGCTCCGTGTGCCCGAATTTTTCTGTATTCTGCCGGCTAGATTGCTGTCCTTGGGGCCGGAGAGGGGGGGACTAGTGTGCTGCCCGCCGCTCACGCACCTATCTCCAATGAACCAATCCAGTACTAGTCGGCAGCTTCGCGATCTATATATTATTCTACTCTGTTATGAGCGCATATAACCTTCTCCACTTGGTGCGCTACCCCATCGTTCGTGCATCCGATGCAGTTTCCTTTGAACCTACAAATGACAGATAAAGGGTGCGATTTTGGTCTATAAATGGTGAGCACATTGACGGCTGAAATATTCAATCAGTACGTTTTGTTTCCTGGAGAAATCACAAACCTCAATACCTGCAAAGTCGGCATGATGATACCACTGGATCGCTTGATGCAATTTTACTGCTCACAGTATTATAGACTCATGAAGCCCGCTGAGAGGGATGCGGCGTATCAAGGTCTGTGTCTTTCACCGATGCCCTGTTCCTGGCGAGAAGTGACTAATGCCCCAGATTACTGATCCCGCCTAACCTTTCTTCTTTCCAATATGTTGACCTCGCAGTGCCTTTCCTTATGCTATCATTAGAAGCACGTTTTCGACCTACGGGATTAATGATGCTCTCACAACCGAAGCGCGGTCATATACGCTGCTGACATTACGACCTGGAAATTTCTTGGTATCTGTTGCTGGGCTCTTTGGGTTGTCAGGGGGTGATCTAACTTGACGGTTAGCAAGGCGAAACCTCGATAGTGTTCGACAATCAGGTGAAGGGAGGCACTCTCATTGCAATCGCTCAGCGAGCGATGCGCATTCTGACATCCACCCTTCCTACATGAGGATGTTGTAAAGTCAATTGTACTAAGACCCCCTTTTTACTCTGTAATGCTATAAAGTCCCATCACCATTGATGCTAATTTGATACATTGTTAGGCATTGCATGTTCGATGCGTACGTAATTGTGGTTCATTGCATTATTACAGCTCATTATTATACATCTCTTGAGTCCATCATCATGGCGGGAGCGCTAGAAGCTTCAATCAGGCTCAACAGACATTGCATACTCTTTCACACTCGGCTTAGTGCAGCCTGCCCGAACTCACGGCACATGAGAGGCGAGCCACACGGTGAGAAAGGATGGTACCCCGATCGGAAAGTAGTTTAGAATCTCCGCCACACACGCACAAGTATAATTCGCACTCCGCAAATGCTCGGATCACCGACACGCAAGGACCCGACCGAACGAACTCAAGCTGTGCGTTAGACTGAACTAATTTGCTCAATACGTGCTGGGTATCGAGCAAGATAATGGCGGATGACTATCCATCTCCGTTTCGTGAGTGGCAACCGCTCCTAACGCTCTATGCTTTCTGATCATGTCCTTCAGGCTCGGAGCAGATGAGCCTGGTACAGCTCATCGTGCCGACCGAGGTTGCTCATGATACAATCGCTGAACTTGGCGAGCTGGGGAACGTACAGTTCAAAGACGTGAGTGTGCCTCCCAGTTAGTCTGCCAAGTTCTATCACCTGAAGTACCCGCTCTTGCAGTTGAACCCTGACGTCAACCCATTCCAACGCTCGTTCGTGGGTGAGATTCGCCGGGTGGATGAGATGGCCCGTCGTGTGCGCTTCTTCACGGCGCAGATAGAAAAGGAGAAGGACACGGTGCCCGTGCGCCCATTGTATGACTCCGCGCCGTTGCTCACCGTCGGGCCGCGGGTTGCGCAAACGATGGACGAGCTGGACACGAAGCTGAAGGAACACGAGGTCAGGCTAATACAGATGAATGACAGCTATCAGTTGCTGTGTGAGCGGATGAAGGAGCACGAGGAGGCTCGGCATGTGCTGCGAGAGACGGCGGTGTTTTTCGAGAGGGTGAGTAAGAAAGCGGGAGAGTGTCGACCTTTGATAGCTGAATGATAGGATAGGCGGCGTCCGGCTACCAGCCGGAGATCAGAGCATCGTTCGACGACAGTTCCGCACCTCTGCTACAGCATGATGATCAAGAGCAGCAGTTGACCTCTAGCGGTGTCCAATTCGACCTCGAGTACGTGCCCTATTCTACGTCAGAGGGGTCTCCTTTTACTCAATTGTGAGCTCAGGTTTGTTGCTGGCACCATCGAGCGCTCCCGTCTGCCGACGTTCGAGCGGGTGCTTTGGCGAGTGCTCCGTGGCAACCTCTACATGAACCACACCGACATCGCTGAGCCATTTATCGACCCCGCCACAGGCGCGGAAACACGCAAGAACGTCTTCATCATCTTCGCACACGGCGACACGCTACTTGCCAAGATCCGAAAGGTCGCGGAGAGCATGGGCGCGACCATCTACCCTATCGATCCAAACGCGGACAAGCGTGCGCAGTCGATGCGCGAGGTGACCGCGCGCCTCGAAGACCTCCAGACCGTGCTCTATAACACGCGCCTGAATCGTCGCACGGAGCTGATCACGATCGGGGAGAGTCTGGAGAGCTGGGTTGATGTGGTTAGGAAGGAGAAGGCGATATATGAAACGTTGAACTTGTTGAATTATGACGTGAACAGGAAGACGCTTATTGCGGAGGGGTGGTGCCCAACGAGGGACATCTCAATGATTCAACTTGCACTCAGGCATGCAACGGTGTGTCTCTTTCCTCTGTGCTTATATTCTTGCTCATCTTTCTGACTTTAGGAGGAATCTGGTACGAACGTCCCTCCTATCCTGCACGAACTCAGAACGAACAAGACGCCACCGACTTTTATTCGTACGAACAAGTTCACAGAAGGGTTCCAGACGATCATGGACGCATACGGTATTGCCTCCTATCAGGAGGTCAATCCCGGTCTGTTCGCGGTCATCACATTCCCCTTCATCTTCGCGGTCATGTTCGGTGATATCGGTCATGGATTCATCACGTTCGTCTCTGCGCTCGTGATGATACTCATGGAGCGTCGGATGGCGAAAGCTGAACTAGGAGAGGTACGTCGTTTTGCGAGAGATAACAGTTGTTATGTTATGCTCATCAATACGTCGTAGATCACTGGGATGTTCTTCTTGTGAGTTTTCCCGGATAGTTCGACAGGGCTGATGCTAAGATGACTACAGCGGCCGGTACATCATCCTGCTTATGGGTCTTTTCTCGATGTACACCGGGTTTCTGTACAACGATATCTTCTCGAAGTCGCTGCACGTCTTCCGTTCAGGATGGTCTTGGCCGGAGCAGGCGGTCAATGGCTCGTTCATTGCATTTCAGAATGGCCACACGTACCCCATTGGTATCGATCCGACATGGCATGGGGCTGATAATGCTCTGTTGTTCCTCAACTCGTACAAGATGAAGATGTCCATCGTGCTCGGTGTCATTCACGTAAGGCACTGCGTCATTCCGCTTCTCATTTTCTCGCTGATTACGATCCCTCAGATGACGTTTGCGTTGTGCCTGCAAGTTCCAAATCACATCCGCTTCAACCGTCGCGCGGATATCTGGACGAATTTCCTTCCATCGATGTTGTTCCTGCAATCTATCTTCGGTTATTTGGTCATCTGTATCATCTACAAGTGGACAGTGGACTGGGGAACATCACCAACGGGTCCACCCTCTCTCCTGAACATGCTCATCTCTATGTTCTTGTCGCCTGGAACGGTTGACCCAAGCACTCAGCTGTATAGAGGCCAGGCAACTATTCAGGTCATCCTGCTCCTAATTGCGTTTATTTGTGTGCCGTGGCTACTTATCGCGAAACCCTATCTAATGTGGAAGGCGACGAAGAATATCCAGGGTCAAGGATATCGTGGGCTTGGAACAGAGGATGCTCCGAGACATACGGCCGATACGGACCTTGAAGGTGAAGAAGAAGGCAATGGCGTGGCCATCGCCGAATCGATAAATGAGGAGGTGCGTTGACGTTTACTTGACACCACATGACAACTGACACCTGCGGTGCACAGGAACATCATGATTTCGGCGAGGTGGTGATCCATCAAGTCATTCACACGATCGAATTCTGTCTTGGGTGCATTTCGCACACTGCCTCATACCTGCGTCTGTGGGCGCTCTCGCTCGCGCATGCCCAGCTTTCCGAGGTATTGTGGACTATGACGCTGGAGGGTGTTCTGGGCATGTCGGGCCTGTTCGGGGTCGTGGCCATCGCGCTTATGGGCGCTCTCTGGCTCTCACTGACTGTGTTCATTCTGTGTATCATGGAGGTACGTCGGGAGATCCGTGCACTCCGCAGATAAGAGTAAGGTTTTGCGATGCTCATTCCGATCACTCTTTCTTGTAGGGGCTGTCTGCGTTCCTGCACGCACTGCGTCTTCACTGGGTGGAGGCAAACAGCAAGCATTATGAAGCGGGTGGATATGTACGTAGCGTCGCTTATCCTGGCCCATCCTTGGGCACGCTGGAAGCATGCTGACCATTTCCTATGCCCTTGACAGCAATTTGCGCCACTGAGTTTCGCCAGATTAGGTGAAGAGTGAGAAGGAGGGGGCAGTGCGGGGAGAAGTCAGAGATGGAAGTAGCTCTTCCTGTGTAGCTCCGACAATCGGAGGTGCCTGTGTACCGCGATGCTTTGTCGCCTGTGCAGCGTTGTGGGGTAATGTACTGCATTGCTACCCCAGATGCGCTGGTTGGACGGATGGCTGGGTGATTGGTAACAAATTTGTAACTATTGGCGACAATTGGCAACAATCGTTGATCGCTAAATCGGAGCTTACAAGGCGTTGGCGGTGTCTAGCGCCGGCTCGTCGTGGCCTGGGGCGCTTCACGTGGCCTCGGCGTGAGTTTTTCGGACTCCGCCCGCGCGCGAGGAGTATATATAAGCGACAGCTGATCTCGCAAACTCTATCCCCACTCTCAGCTTTTTCCTCTTTCTTTTTCTATAGAGGTGAGTGCTCCTTGCTGCTGCGTCCGTCAACTGCGTCGCTGACCATTCTACGCAGGCCCCGGCCAAGCTAGAATAGAGTGTTTCTTACTCCTTGTCGGCCTTTTCGCGAATCACCGCATTTTCAAGCATTACAATCGTCTCATCACTAGAGGTGTGTACCCCAAGATCGACCCATTGCAAGAGGACAGGTCTAATGATCCAACCGGTCATGCAGATTAACGAAATGCCAGCTATTACTGCTACCGCTCCTGCTACGCCCGCACCTGCTTCGCTCAAGGCCGTTGTCGCGCCCGTTGACGGACAGTTCAATGTCACCGGCCTCTTCGTCGCTGATAAAGCCAGTCGCGCATCTGCAGCAGCGACTCTCGTCGCTCTCGCTCAAAAGGATGGCCCTAACGCCCTCCAGTCCATCGGCTTTACTGATGCCACCGTCAAGGCATTGGGTGACAAGAAGTCGCCTGCAGCCCGCGAGGGCGCTGCGAGCGCTGTCGCAGCGCTTGCCAGTTCGGACGCAGTCAAGGCCCTCGAGCCCCTTTTCATCGATTCCGGTCTCTATGCTGCACTCCTCGAGTCTTTCGCTGACAAGATGCCCGCTGTGCGGACAGCTGCCATCGAGGCGGTCCGGGCATACGTTGCACACATGAACCCATGGGCGACCGCACTTATGATCCCCGCCCTTCTTCACGAGATCAAGACGGCCGGCAAATGGCAGGTCAAGACCGGCTCTTTGACGGTCCTCAACCAGCTCGTCACCAGCGCGCCCCTGCAGACTGCCCGTCTCACCCCCGAGATTGTCCCTGTCCTCTCTGAGGCGATCTGGGACACCAAGGCCGACGTGAAGAAGGCCGCGCGTGATTCGCTCGAAAAGGCTACGGCTCTCATATCTAACAAGGACATAGAACGCTTTATTCCTGCTCTAATCAAGGCTCTGATTAACCCCGTCGAGGAAGTTCCTAATACCATTTCTCTACTCTCGGCTACCACATTCGTTTCGGAAGTAGACTCCGCGACGCTTTCGCTCATGGTTCCCTTGCTGTCGCGTGGTTTGAATGAGAAGCCTACTGCTACCAAGCGTAAGGTCGCTGTGTAAGTTTTCGATTTCTGGATATCTCTCGGAGACCTTTGCTTACTCATCCTCCGCAGAATTGTTGACAACATGGCCAAGCTTGTCGACTCTGCTGTTACCGTCCGTCCCTTCATTCCTAAACTGCTCCCTGGTCTTCTCAAGGTTGAGACCACCATTGGTGACCCGGAGGCTCGCAGCGTCGTCGGCCGTGCTATTGCTACTCTTCGTCAGGTTGGTGAGGTCCCGCACGGTGACGGATCCGACTTGCCTCCTCTCAAGAAGGCAGACGAGAAGAACCTCGCGCACACGCTCGTCGCCCTCTACAAGAAGGCGGACGCCAGCCATGTTCCTTCTCCCGGTTCTGTGGATATTATGTACGCTGGAAACCTCGCCGCCAACCTCGTGAATGCCAAGAACTTTGACGTCTCCGAGTGGCAGTCTTTGGCGCCTTACCTCGCCTTCGCCGTGTCGACGCCTGAGCCCATCCCCATCATCAACGAGTGGGTTGTCAAGTCGGCGTCGCAGGAGGAAGAGGAAGGTGAAGTTCCTGAGGATGAGGAAGAGGGCGAGGATCTGTGCAACTGCCAGTTCTCCTTGGCTTACGGTGCTAAGATCCTGCTCAATACCGCCACCCTCCGTCTCAAGCGTGGCCACCGCTATGGTCTCTGCGGTCGCAACGGTACCGGAAAGTCAACCCTCATGCGCGCTATCACCAACGGCCAGGTTGAGGGTTTCCCTTCACCGGACGAGGTTCGCACCTTCTACGTCGAGCACGACATTGACGGCAGCGAGGCCGACACCTCTGTCCTCGACTTTATCCTCGCCGACAAGCGAATCGAGGGCACGAAGGAGGAGGTCGTCGAGACTCTTGCTTCCGTGGGTTTCAGCGACGAGAGGCAGAAGCAGGCGATCGGCAGTCTGTCTGGTGGTTGGAAGATGAAGCTCGCCCTTGCCCGTGCCATGTTGTTCAAGGCTGACATTCTCCTTTTGGACGAGCCGACTAACCATCTGGACGTCGTCAACGTTGCATGGTTGGAGAGCTACCTCACCGGCCTAACGGGCTGCACCTCCATCATCGTCTCGCACGATTCTGGGTTCCTCAACAACACGATCACCGACGTCCTTCACCTGAACCGCTTCAAGCTCAGGAGGTACAAGGGTAACCTTGAGGCTTTCATGAAGCAGGTTCCTGAGGCGCGTTCCTACTACACGCTTGAGGCGCAGGAGGACTATCAGTTCAAGCTGCCCGACCCTCCTCTGCTCGAGGGTGTCAAGACGAAGGAGAAGAGTTTGCTCAAGATGCGCAAGGTCGGCTACCAATACCCGACTCAGCCTGTCCAGCAGCTCTACGACATCACGCTCCAAGTCTCGCTTTCGTCGCGTGTCGCTGTCCTCGGTCCCAATGGCTCTGGCAAGTCGACCCTTGTCAAGCTCCTCATCGGCGACCTCGAGCCCAACAGGGGTGGTGAGATCTGGAAGCACCCGAACTTGGTCATCGGTTACGTGGCGCAGCATGCGTTCCACCACATCGATAGTCACCTCGACAAGACCCCACTCGAGTACATGCTTTGGCGTTACCAGACCGGCGAGGACCTGGAGGAGATGATGAAAGCGAACCGTCAGATCTCCGAGGAGGAGGCGCAGAAGATGAAGGACGGCAGTATCGTCGTCGTCGAGGGTCAGAAGCGCACCATCGACGAGATCGTCGGCCGTAAGAAGCTCAAGCAGTCGTACGAGTACGATGTTTCGTTCAAGGGCCTCAGTTCGTCGGAGAACATTTGGCTGCCGCGTGACGACTTGATCAAGCGTGGTTACGAGAAGAAGGTGCTTGAGGTCGACACCCGTGAGGCGCAGCGCCTCGGTCTCCTCCGCCCTCTCGTTCGTCGCGAGATTGAGAAGCACTTTGCTGACTTCGGTCTTGAGCCAGAGTTCGTCTCGCACAACTCGATGCGCGGTCTCTCCGGTGGTCAGAAGGTCAAGGTCGTCCTTGGTGCTGCGACGTGGCGTCGCCCTCACATCATCTGCTTGGATGAGCCGACGAACTACCTCGACCGTGAATCGCTCGCTGCGCTCATCAAGGCGCTCAAGGAATTCGAGGGTGGTGTGCTCGTTATCACGCACAACCGCGACTTCTCCGAGTCGCTGTGCCAGGAGGTGTGGGCGATGCGCGACGGCCACCTGGAGGCGTCGGGTCACAACTGGGTGGAAGGTCAGGGCGCTGGGCCTCGTATCGACAAGAATAACGGCGAGGATGAGGATCAATATGATGCGATGGGCAACAAGATTGAGAACAAGAAGGCGAAGAAGATCACGTCTGCAGAGGCACGGAAGCTCAAGAAGGAGCGCATGGCGCGGAAAAAGCGGGGCGAAGATGTCACCGACGACGAGCTGTGATTATTTTTCTCGACGTCGGTTGTGTCTGTTTTCCTGTCCTCTTTGCTGTGTGTTCTCTATTCCGGACGTCTCTAGGTTATGTACCGCTGCATTGTCTTGTACCTTGTACCCTAGCATTAATTCTATCGTTTATGTCATGTTCGAGTTTGCATATAAGTCAGTTCAAGTTTCGAGCATCGTTGTGGGTCGCCAACTGCATCCCAGCTCACAGCGGCGGCCAACGCGACCTTTTGGGTCGCCTGTCGTCCAGGTTGAACATGATCACTCACTTCACGTTGCATGATGTCGCTCCATGCTATGTACCCTACTCTGCGACACCTTTCCATATTCAACTTTTTGCCTTGGCGCCATCTGCGCAGCGTAGCCACACAGCATCTGCGCTTCACGGTGTGAACTTCTCAGCCGACAATCTGCTGCTGCGCTTTGCAAGGCTAAGGGTACAAGACCGTACAATAAGAGTCTATTCTCTTGTCTTCTACTGTCGCCTGCTCTGCGCTCGGAAATCTCTGCAACTTGCAAGTGGCCCTGTTGACCGGGGTTATCGGAGGACTATACCAGAATTCTTGAAGCGTGACGGATAACGACCTCTCACGATGCCTTACGTCCCTGAGAATGCGTTCGCGAATCATACGCTCTACTTGCTTGCGCGCGATGCGAAAAGCGACTTGACGCCCAACGCTACGCAACGGACGACGCTGATCGTTGCTGCGTGCTATATAATTGCGATCGCGATCCTATGGTGCGTTACAGTGTCAACAGATGTGCTGGATGGGCGTAGTTGATTGAGTTTTGTAGGCATCTGCCATATTTGAATGTTATCAGTGAGTGTTCTGGCTGTTGCAATTTCTGGAAGGTTGTGCTGATGGTGGCTGTCTTGCGCGATAGTCTATCCGTTCAAGTGAGTGCTCACTGCTTCATGAGGATTCCGAGGAGTGGTGCTGAAGCAATGCATTAGGCTACTAACTGTTGGGTTCCATGAGGTGCGCAGTACGTGAAAACAAATTGATATCGTCCTGCTGAAGAGCATGCTCCATGATGTAGATGAGCCATGCCTTCGTGGGCGGTAGGTCATAGTTTATAATATATCACTGGAACGCCGCCACTAATCATTCTGCAGTGCTTACGTGCGCTCATATACATTCAATTGAGCTCGATCGTGAGCACTTGCATCAATAATTCCGTCTATGGTGTTTCAGATGTATCTGATCTCGTACGCATATAGCGGATGAAGGCGGCGCAACACGCATGTCCGGAGGGATACCCTGGCTGACCCTCCCTGCGGGGTACCTCGGCTCGTCCTTCATTGGCGCAGCCCTTATCGCATGCGGGTTCGACACGGATGCGAGCAAAGTCGCATCGATAGTTCTCGCTGCATTCTTCCTCTTCACACTCTGGTGGGCGCGGAGAGATTGGTTGTAAGTGACATTCGATGGCCGTAAAGGAATAATCGGTGCAATAGGTGGCTGATTGTATGATCTACTCAGAACGTGGGTCCTTATTCTGGGGATGTCCGGCCTTGTCATCATGTTCTGGTTTGTGGATAATGCCACCGCACTGCGGTATTTCGTAAGTACACTGCATCAACGCATTTAGGGCCGAGATACGATTTGTGCTATCTAGATACTATTCATAGGCGTCATGTCCTGCTTATATGTCCTGTGGGACATCGTAGGTGAGGCTGGACCGACCCATATACTCGATCTGCCTGACAATACTACCATCGCAGACGATACAATTTCACGAAAAGTGAACGGATCCGATGCTTCGTCGTTCGCTGATATCTGTGGCTGCTGCCCCTCCCAAGGTACGGTTTCGTCACTTATTCGGTCTACTTTCTGTCCCAAGTCAATGCTGACAATGCGGGGATATATAGTGTGGGGCGTCGTCTGGCTCTTCGTAGCCTTTGCTTTCTTCGCCGCTGGTATCATTGTTGGCATTGCGGCGTTCAAAGTGACGTGCTTTCCCAATTACCGCTGCGGCCAACGCTAACGCCTGTTATTGCCCTACAGGAAACTGCAGCTGAGCAGGCGGAAGCGTCAGATCATTTTCTCCCTACGGGCACGTCCAACGCAGCGCTCGGGTCCTCCGTGTCATCGCTCGTATTAGTGATGTCCGTTTTGTCGACCTGGCTCCTTCTATAATGCCTCCGAATGGCGTTGATATATCAATCACCATCTCTCGGACGTTGATTTCTCGGGTGATGCAACGTTCGCGACGAATTGGTGATGGTCACTCACGAGGGAACAGTGTATCGCCTCATGTACGTTTCGTGTTATTTATATGGCCGTTATATATACCAAGTATTGTACAGCTGCAGTGCTCGTCTTATGATGTTTTGTCTTTTTCGATGACAGAACCTAGAAGTGTGATTCGATTGAGAGGGAAGATAGAATTTTCCAGCTCGAGACAGGATAGTATAGAAAAATGTGTGTGAGATTATACGCACCAAGTGAACACATCAGGTTTCTCAATATCATCGGTACTATGGACGTTCCTTCTTGCTTGTTGCAGCAGTTCGTTCCGGCGCACCCTCCCTTCCCTTGCCCTTAGTGCGAGCAGTTTTCCCCAAGGAAGACTTTCCACTGGCCGCAGCGATAGTATTCGTTGGACGCCTCCTTTTGCCCTTCGGTTTCCCCGGCCCCATCGGCTCGTCCACGCCATCTCCCACAATAATCACGACGCTCACGGAGGACTTCCCTCTTGACCGATATGTGATGTCTTCGTCCTCATCCTCTGGGATCACCTCGTCATCCACTTCGACCGTGCCCGTGAACACTTCGGTGCGGACTTCATCTTGGGGGAACGGGAGAATCTCGGGTATGGAGAGTGCGAGCTGCATGAGGTGGGGAATGGCCGCGCCCATGGCGCTGAGGTGCAGTGTCCGATAACTACAGCATCATGCAGCAGGCTGTATGAGCGTCAGGACTGAGGGGAGAATGCATGCATTCACGCACCCATCTTTCATGAACACATCTTTACAGCGTCTCAGGTATGCACCTAGAGGCGTTTTACGCGTGATGCATATGTTGTTCTTGCCCTCCGTGTGCGCCGAGCGCGGTCCCGTAGCGGACACAGATGTAGGTACCGTTGGAAAGGGACGAGGAGGGAGGAGTTTTCGGATGGTATGAGCTGGCTTTGACGGACCTGCATGGGGGTTTGTCGGTTGCACTGAAGCCGGAGGTGCAGCAAGGGTCTTCGTTCCTGTCTGTGGTACACTTTGCGCGGTCTCCGCATCGTGGTCCGTCATCGTGGCCACAATTTTTGTGCTCGTCCTGCCAGAAAGTAAGTTGCACAACGTAGTGTCCTCGATGTACATGTGGCACCTTGGTGGCACCATGCACCCAACACGCATACAGATACAAACATCGCTCCCTGCCTCCTGCTTTACAACATCGCTGAGCCATCTACTGAAACATCCACACACCACCAGTCGCCTCAGTCTTCAACTATGCCTGATACCGAGCTGTCCTACGTGATCATTTTCCGAGACGGTACTGTCAGTGACGTCTGCACGCTTGAAGAAGTTGACAGTTCGTGGAGTTTTTCAAATGTCCGTCGCAAGATCTACGAGGAGGAGCATCTGTGGGACCTTCACAGCATGGTCCCCAGCGATATAGACATGTACACTGTGAGTTGCCCTCTCATCGTCGCAACGGTGCCACTCTGACCGAGCATCAGCCTGGCCAACTGACGTTGGAAGATGTTACACATGATGACATGTCCCTTCATGTCAAGACGGCTATCGAGGGTTTGAAGCCCATTTACGCGCTTGATAAAGTCAGCGACATCTTTAAACAACCGATCCCGGATGATAAGTTGGTTCGTCTTGTGTTCGTGGCACGTCGTCCTCAGCTCGTGGCACATCCCCCAGGTGAGCCACCATTCAGATGATTTCACGTCGTCAGGCTTGACCATCGCATCTTTGGTGGTGTCTGCTGCTACTCTCCCTGGAATATTGTTCTCAAACATTCTGCTATGACCATGCAGGTGCCAATCGCAGCGAGCTCGGTCAACAAATTGTCATCGCCGACCCCATTGACCAATATAGCATAAGCTTCATTGAAGCAGGTGCCCAAGGAACATTTACCGCCGGAGACATGGGTTCAAATAAAATATGCTACTGGCAGACGGCCCTTCCCCACTTCGTCTAGGAACTCAAAGCGTGGTTGAGCACAGACAGACGGATCACTACTATTGTTCAAAGCTCATCAACTGGGGCTCCAGTGGTGACGCTTGCGACATCATTGGCTAATGATACCCATTCCAATGATCATCCAGAGCACGCCTTCGCCGAACTGTGCGAATTGGGTCACCTGCTGCAGGTTGTGTTCAACAGTGATTCACCGTGGCAACAAGGGAGATTCAGCGAATTTGATGCGAATGGAACGATCTTCTATCAATTTGCGCATTACCTATATGCCTTGCTCCCTGAAAAGGTTTCTTGCAAATTGTAAGCGTCAAAGTACCTGTATTTCTGCCGAAAACTAAGCTCATTTGCATTTGTGGCAGCGGCACCGAAAGCTGGCCTCTCACGCTGGTAGTGAAAGTCGGAAACATGCACTACTCGTATAAACCCAAGAGTGATTTCTCCGTATGGACGCGTAGTAATTTACCTCGTCTCATAGTGGAGGTCAACTCGAAGGGACAAGACGATCGTGTTCGCATGCTTCTTCAGGGAGCGAGTGCTGTTCGTTTCGCAAACCGAATTTTGGACGACAAAGCAGAGGAGTCCCTGAAGAGCAGATTTATATTGATGGCCATTTATTTCACTGGGAAAGGTCTCGCAGAACGCTATTTCCTGTTTCAAGTCAAGGATTCATCAGAAGTACGTGAGCGAATCTTTATCTCAGTAAACCCAAAGCCTGAGTCGCTGCGCTTTTTTAGGTTTATTATGTGGAGGACTCGTTTAACATGTTGAACGAAGTTGAAAGGCTTCAATTTGTATCCGAACTGTATAATCTGGCATCTTACCTGGAGGTAGAAGACGACGACAAATTCGCAGGCGTGACATCCAAGGTCGAAGATCTCAACACCAGCATTCGAAATAAGAAATGGCCGCGGTTCAATTTGAAGAAAAGCACCAGGCGCACTCGCACTGATGGGATGGAAGGGCGATCTGACAATGGCCAAGATGGTAATGGCAGTGATGAAGACGACGAGTTCGAAGCAGAAGGATATGAGTTGGTACCTGATCATTTTGAGTGTGGAGGCACATGGGAACTGTTGTACAAGGTTTGAGTGACAGGGAACTGAATGCTTTAAGAGCTCATGCTGACAAACATCTTGCAGCTACCACCTCACATACGTACTGTACGTCGTGTAGGAGACTCCAGCGGGGCGGAATTCATCGCAAAACGAATCAGCGGCAAATCGAACGAGCTGAAGATCCTCGAGTTTCTCCGCACGATAAAGCCGCCATCGGAGCACGTCATCACTTTACTCAAAACAATTAGAACAAGTTTGGGGAAGTACCTCATATTTCCGAAGAGGTGCTCCATCGACGAGCAACTCGAATTTTCCGCTGACGGCGGTGTACTTCGTGGCAGGTTCGTTCAGCTCAGCCACGAGCTAGCCAAAGGGCTAGCATTCCTTCACGAGCATGGAGTAGCCCACCTGGACATCAAGCCCACGAATCTTGTCTGCACCAACAGCTTCTGCCTGCAGATCATTGACTTTGATATCGCCGTCCGAGTCAAGGATGCGGACCAAGAGATCGACAAGTACTGTGGCAGTCACGGATGGATGGCGCCGGAAATCGGGGGGAAGAACGGTCCGCGAACCAACGTACAGTTCCATCAGGGCTGACAGGTGGTCTTGCGGTCATGTTTTCTACCTCTTTGCCGAGAGAATTAGGAGGAATGGGGACGAGGATGAAGGCCTCATGGCCTTTGCGACACGGCTGATGGATAAGAATCCGCGGCGTCGACCGTCATTGCTTGAGTGGTCCGAACCGTCCAATGCGCCGCCATCGAGCAGTGGAAACGGGTCGAAAAAGGACGAGGAAGAGAGACCCGAAGCTCGGAAGAGAAACGCTGCGGAGGCCATTGGCGAATCGACGAATCCGGAGAAGAGACGCAAGATCGATTGAGAACAAGTGTGCTCAATCGATGGTGTATAGGCAAACATTGATGCCGCCCTACCCATATTGACTTACAGCTGAGGCTTGCTAGTGTCTTCTTGTCATTGTCACGCTTTGTAAAGGAAAGGAAAGGCTCGACCTGTTCAATTCTTTGGGGAACATGGCTACAGGACGAGGACCACACCCAACTGCCCGCTCCGGGCGCAGTTCAATTAGTTGCAGTGCGAGAGCCTAGCGCTGGCAAGGACCGCGATGTCTCATCTGTGCTTTGATTGAGGTTGAACTGCGGAATTGGACAGGCGAGCAGATATGTTGCATCAAAGACGAGGTAAAATATATATCAGGCATTCGTCAATCATCAAACAGAACCTCCATCAATAGCCTAGATGCTTTGCCCTGTTCGTATGCCACAATTAACTTCTACGTGCCAATTCAGAGGCGTCAGTGTGGTTGCGTACCAGCAATCCAATACGACTCCGGCTTTGCCAAATATGACACCAAGCTTGCGACGACATGAGGCTCGCCCACACGGAGATTCGGTGTGCCGGGTAACTAGAGGTATTCGCTCGTCGGAGTGGAGAGGGCGACGCGGCGAAAAGGGAGGACTGGCATGGTCAGGTAGCAGGCTGCTATCATGAATTGTGTAACTCGTTAAGGCTGCTTAGGTTTTTTACATGCCCGTGTTCTCATGACATTGTGTGTGCACAGATAATCCTGTTGAGATCTGCACACCATGTAGTGCCCGAACCTTCGCTAATTCATGTCGGTAATCGCAATCTTTGCCCGGAAATCACATCCACACTGTTATTGTTCCAATGGCACCCAATTGAGCTTCGCCAGACAGTGTTAAGGTTGGGACGCACACGCCGCCGCGCTAATGCTGGCAATCAGAGGTGATGATATCACATTTGGGCTTTCGCCGCGCGGCTTTCAAGATGGCTTTCGTCTGGACTGTCGCGATGCCCGAGGGTGTGCGGAGTTTCCTTGACCAGACGCATAAATACTTACACAGGAGAAACTATACTCACAAGCAATAATGTGCTTCATCCTTCAAACGAACTGAGGTTGAAACGGACCGGCCCAATTCGAGCGACAATTCAATAATCATTACTACATATTGACCGATAAGCGGCCTTAGTCATTAGTCAGCTGGGTTATCGACACAATACAAATGCAAGACACCTTATCGGTAACTTGCGGTGCGCCATCTTGATCCTGGTAAAATTTGGGCGCGTTCCCCCTTCGTCCTCCTGTCCCTCCGCCCTCCACCGCCTGGTGTTGTAACATACCCCCCTCGAGAACACAACCCGTCGGCCCCCACCAAAAATGAGTCAAGATGCTGCAGAGCAGAATATTCAGATGTGGAAGGTCAAGAAGCTCATCAAGAGCCTTGACGCTGCCCGGGGGTGTGTGCTTTGCAGCGCATTGATTCACTGGGATGAGATACTGATCGCGTATGCAGAGCGGGCACTTCCATGATCAGTCTCATCATCCCACCAAAAGTGCGTTGGGTCCTGTGTATTACATGTCCGATCTTCTGACAATCTGGTTGCAGGATCAAATCTCTCGTGTGTCCGCCATGTTGACGCAGGAATATGGTACCGCATCCAACATCAAGTCTCGCGTGAATCGACTTTCTGTCCTGGCGGCCATCACAAGTACTCAGCAGCGTCTCAAGCTTTACAATCGCGTTCCACCCAACGGTCTTGTGCTTTTCGTCGGCACGATCCTGACCGATGAGGGCAAGGAAAAGAAGGTGTCTTTCGACTTTGAACCACATAAACCGATCAACACGTATGTCGCCCACATATGCTGCCTCCTAATGTCTCACACGGACACTTTTCCAGGTCCTTGTATCTGTGCGACAACAAATTCCATACCGAGGCGCTCCAGGAACTGCTGGAATCTGATTCCAAATTTGGTTTCATCGTGATGGACGGAAATGGCACGTTGTTCGGCACGGTTGCGGGCAATACACGCGAGGTCATCCACAAGTTCACCGTCGACCTGCCGAAGAAGCACGGCCGTGGTGGTCAGTCCGCACTGCGTTTCGCACGTCTGCGTGACGAGAAGCGCCACAACTATGTCCGCAAAGTCTCCGAGTTGGCGGTGCAGCACTTCATCACGAACGACAAAGTCAATGTCACGGGCCTGGTACTCGCTGGTAGTGCAGACTTCAAGACGGAGCTGAGCCAGAGTGACATGTTCGACCCGCGATTAGCGGCCAAGGTCATCAAGGTCGTGGATGTCAGCTATGGTGGAGAGAATGGTTTCAACCAGGTACGTCTCACATGCCTTATTCAATAACGCCTGGGTTAATGACCACGATATGCAGGCTATCGAACTAGCAGCAGAGTCGCTTGCCAACGTGAAGTTCGTGCAAGAGAAGAAACTGATCCAGAGGTACTTTGACGAAATCAGCCAAGACACGGGCAAGTACTGTTTCGGTGTCGATGATACGTTGAAGGCATTGGAGCTGGGTGCTGTGGAGACGCTGATTGTCTGGGAGAACCTCGACATCACTCGCTATGTGCTTCGAAATGCTGCCAGTGGTATGTCTTTTTCCGCATATCGCACCTACTTCGCTGCTTACCAATACAATCAGAGGAGATCATCATCCACGTGAACAAGGAGCAGGAGAAGGATCGCGAAAAGTTCATTGACAAGTCTACAGGCGCCGAGATGGAGCAGGTCTGCGAGCCGCAATCTCTGCTTGAGTGGTTCGCAGAGAAGTACAAGGAGTTCGGCGCGAATCTTGAGTTCGTAACAAACCGCTCGCAGGAGGGTGCGCAGTTTGTCAAGGGTTTCGGTGGGATCGGCGGGCTGCTGCGGTACAAGGTGGACTTCAACACGCTGGGCAGCGTGGATGATGACGGCGAAGACGAGTTCCTCAGCGACGAGGAGGATTTCTGACTTGAGTGGCGGCTCCGCAAAGGAGCCCCATCTGGCTGGGGCACGCCGGGTGGGGCGGGGTGCCGGGGTGAGCGCGAAGGGGTGAGGACGCGGTTTCATGCGCTGTGTGGAGATGCGAGTCTTGGGTGCAAGTGGGGGAGTGATGCGGGTTGCGGGGTGGCTGCATTCGACAATGGAGGTGCGCTGTCATGTCACAGATACGGATCGGCGAAGAAGCAGAACGTCGAGCACGGGCCTTACCACGGCAGAGGCTTGGTTGTACCTAAGATATGAAAAGAAGTTTATTTCAAGAGGTACGCTTGCGGTCGCCCTTCGCATTCATTTCCACATCGCTGACTCGCACAGCGTGCTAGGTCTTGCCATTGCTGCACGCTACAAAGCTTGACCTCACGATTGTGGTTGCTCTTGCAGCGTTGCATGATGATCACCTATGTATTAGTTCATCGCTGGTAGCTTAGATACCTTCTTTTCAATTGCTCTTCGTGTAAAGTACGTTCGTCTTGCGACAATGCATGGATTGTGTATGATGTGATGTTATGCACGATGCCATCGCCATCGCCGAGACAATTTTGCGATGCTTTCATATCACAGTATATGTTCGCTTCATAGAACGCGCAATTGTGGCTGCGGTAAATCCGACGTTCTCGAGCTTGGAAGGCGGAGCGGCCGAGGCCGCCCCACCAGACTTAACCGTCGCAGTCCTCTCTGATTATCCACACCACGGCCACACTGGCCTCCCACTGACCGTATCGCAGCAAGACCGACGTACGTGTGCTGTTGTTTCTCGTGCTCATATACTCCACAATGCTTAACTGACGAGGTTGTTAGGGACAAGTAGATCCTGTGCTAGCTTTAGCTCTTACAACCATGGCCCTGAATCCAAACGAAGACACAGAATTGTGAGCCAGTGATCCGTCACATTTGCCTCTTCCCATACATCCTCCCACCTCCCTTACCACTCCCACCATATGCTAGCAACGACGCTCTCCGAAAGCACGGCATCCTTCCTCCGAAACCCCCTACGCCTCGCACCCCGTCGCCGCCGCCCGCGCCGACGCTCGAAGAGTCCCTCGAGGGCCTCTCGCCGGAGGATCTCCGCGCGCTCAGCGAGGATGCTGTAGACGACGAATCTGAGAGAATTGTCGAGCGCTATCGCAGGAAACGGCTAGCGGAGCTCAAGAAGAGGGAGAAAGCGCGTTTTGGCAGGGTGTATCCCATTGGAAGGGAGCAGTACACTGACGAAGTAACGGAAGCGAGCAAGGAGCAGGAGGAAGGCAAACCGGAGGGACATGGCACGGGTGTCGTGTGCTTTTTGTACAAGGATGGGTGAGTGGTTACTGTGCCTCTCTGCCGATTGCATGCATTCTTACTGCTGCCATCCGCTAGTATTCCTCGCAGCGATCGCGCCTTCGAACACATCCGCACGTTGGCTGCGCGGTACCCCAACACGAAATTCGTCTCTATTGTCGGCGAGAAGTGTATACCAAATTTGCCCGAGGAGCGTATCCCGATGTTCATCATATATCGCAACGGCGAAGTCATCAATCAGCTCGCATCCTGGGGTGCGGATCGGGAGAAAAGCATTGAAGGTAAATGGCCGGACTATAAACATCTATCGCTCGCTAACGTGCTTTTGAACTGGCGCAGAATTGGAAGCAATTTTGACTCTCGCTGGCGCAGTCGTACCGGAACTGCATCCCCAGCGCAGTGACAGAGAAAATGACCGCTCCGACTCAGACCGGGACTCCGAAGATGAAGCTTCTGATGATGAGCCCTCCTCACGCATGCGCTCCGCCGGCACGCACACCAATCGCAGTACCGGGAAGAATATAAGGACCCCAGCTAAGGATGATTCGGATTCGGATTTTGATCTATGAGCATAGGTTAGTGTAACTCGACGAAAGTATGGTTGTATGATATGCGTTGAACCTACCTCATTGCACGGACTAATGCCACTATCATCTGATTTCACTCGCCAAAAGGCGTGTCGATACTCTAATGCCCAATTCAGGTCTCTTCGACGGCGCGTCGGTCTACAAACGTGCTGAGCGCCAACCCTGCTCAGTTGCTCTGAAATGTCACGTCGGTGTATTGAACTTCAAGTTTTTCTTTTCTGTCAACGGCGAACTCTTCAAGGAGAGAGAGGCTATTTCTGTCGTTCTCAGCAAATGACAGCATCACTGTATAGATCAGGCACCTCAAGATAACAGCTGTTGAGGGGTCTGAATGCAATTTAGGTCGTGTGCGTAAATTTAGCAGCGGTGGGTTCAGTATAGCTACTCGTTCCTAAGGACTTGTCTTATCGCCGCTCTCAGATAGAAGCAGTATGAGGGTGTGCCTTGACGCGAACACCATGCTCACGGTTCCTATTCGGAGGGTACACCCGACGCAACCATAGCCCACGGTCCCAGTACCATATCTCACCACAATCGGTAAGCCTCGCGTGCTCACGAAGAGTTCACCGCGTGTCTGCTAAGCTAGCTCGCCATTGACCTTACTCACCCAGAGCGATCTGTTCCCACCGGACGGATATTGGGATATCGCCTTCTCGTATCGATGTAAACTTGGAGTGAGGAAGCGTGTGGAACGTGAAGATATGGTCCTTCATATAGCTTGAGGGACGATCTCCTGCGCTCTCCGTCAGCTGGTTCCCAGCTCTCCTCTGTCACGATTCTTGCTCGTGTGCGCTGAGCTAGCCATGACACGCAATGACCCGGAACTTGCACCCATCGAGGCGCGAAACATCGTCAACGCACTCGAGCCTTCGATTCACGACGGCGATGCGAAGGCTGAGTATGCATTGAACGGGAAGGATGAGAAACATACTTCACTGTCCAGTGGAAGCCTGGATGTATATGAGGTGGAAGAACAACTATACGACGAGCACGGGAAAGACAAGGTGCTCGAGACGGCCGAGGACTTCAGTCGGGCGCTGGTCAGCAGTGAGGACGATCCTAACCTGCCTATCCACACTTTCCGAATGTGGCTCACTGGCGTGGGCCTGGCCGTTTTCGGTGCCGTGTTGGGCATGCTATTCGTAAGCTTACTATCTGTCTTTATATTCTTGCGCATGGTGCTAACCTTCCAACAGCAATTCCGCCCACAAGTTATCAGTGTCTCAGCTTTGTTCCTGCAGCTACTCGCATATATGCTTGGCCGTGTCTTTGAGGCCGTGATCCCAGGCCCCGGTAGTCGATGGAACAATGGAAACAGGTTCTGGAGGTTCATGAATCCTGGACCGTTCAGTACGCACCGTTCGCTTTCTCTAGAAAGACAGTTGATCGACGGTCGATGCTGTCTAGATATCAAGGAGCACGTCGCGGCACAGATTTTAGCCAACACCGCTGCGTAGGTGCCATCTATTCGTGTGATCACAGAATTTATCCCAACTGACTTACCGAATGCTGCAGCGCCGCTGCTCAAGCGTGTTTCGTATTCGCTTCTGACGATCTATTCTATGGCATCACCATTAACGTACGTCTGCTTCCGATCTAGTTGTCCTGATTATCTCTACAGTTACGAAATCATTAACAGCCGGGCGACGCCATCTTTACGCTTCTCGCTTCACAGTTGATTGGGTATGGGTTCGCGGGGATGTTCCGTAAGTAACACCCTGCTCGACTCGAATAGCGAACTGTCTAGTGCTTACCACGCGAATGCCCCATATGCGAATACAGGCGCATTCTTAGTGTACCCCACGGTCATGCTCTATCCGAGCGATCTGATTTATGTGAACTTGTTCGATGTGTTGCATCGATCGAAGGGACAGATGTTGCAAGGAAAGAGGCAGGTGAAATATTTGCGAAACAAGGGCCTCATTCTGAACGAAACGGCAGGTTCCGGTTCTTCTGGATTATGACATTCTTGATGTGAGTGGTTTACTTTCGCAGCTTTCACTTTTCAGCACTAATCGTGGCTGGAGATTCGTCTATGAGGTCAGTCCTTTAATTGAGGCAGTCAGCGTCTTCTAAATTTCCTCTCTCTGTATCAGTGGTTCCCAGAGGTTTGTTCTCTTTTCGACCTGATATTCAGACAAGCTGCTTCACTTTCTGCGGCAGTACATCGCACCCCTACTCGGCTCCTTCAACATCGTCTGCCTGTGCGCGCGCAACTCGGACTGGGTGTCATACATCTTTGGTGGTGCCGAAGCCAACGAGGGTATGGGCATGATGGGTTTCGGGTTGGATTGGGCAAGTGCGTAACTCTTTCTTCAGAAAATCTACAGGTTGGAAACGTAGTACTGTTGTGTTGGCAGATATCACGAGTGCACCCTTCTATCAGCCGTTGTCGACACAAATTTCAAGTGAGTGCTCGTCCATCGCCATTAATGCTGCGATAGCCTATCAAAAATGCGCATCATAGCATATGTCGGATGGGCGATAAACTATGTCCTCCTACCAGCTATCTTTGCTGCAAATGTTTGGTACGGTGTTTATTCTTGGCTTTTTTGGAGGGTGCCACGATCGCTGAAATGTCGGAGTATCCAGGCATTCACAGAACTTCCCGTTCATCTCTCAGGTTGGCTTGCTTTCTCAGCATGTGGGAGTACTCACTGAGCTCATTATCATCCGTGATGATGTGATGACATCTAGAACTTGTGCGTGGAAGGATTCTACAGTCTGAGTTGGGCTTGTTCATTTGGCTGACTTAACATCTTAGGTTTTGTGAGCACCGCCCGCCATCGCGATGCGCAAGCAGACTGAACTGTGATATGCAGTCGAGAATGGCACTATCTACGACCAGACATTGATTTTGAATGCGTACGCAAAGGCACTTGAGAACGTTCTGATACGTTCCTCATTGACTTGTGATTAGGGACCAGAGTTTGAACAAGACGGCGTACGCTATTGTCGGCCAGCCCTGGCAGAGCGGCTCTACTGTTGTGAGTATGGACGACATAGTGCCACTACTATATAGGTTTATTGGTTGACAAATGTCGCGGATGTACGCGTTTGCGAACAGATCTACAATCTAGGCCTGAACCTGTCCATCGGCGCAACTTTTGTGCATATCGGCCTATGGCACGGGAGGGAGGTGCGGTAGTCTTCAAATCAACATGACTTTGATGTAGTGAACCCTGACGGCTTTATTGATTCCAACAGCTGTGGTCTGCGTTCCTAGATTAGTATGCTTTCGCCCATACCAAATATCGCCGACGGTTGGCTAAATCGATTTTGCAGTTTGCAAGGCAAGCCAGTGGCAGATCTGCACTACAAGAAGATGCATGTAAGTACTGAGCCGGTGACTCGTGTCTAACGATTTGATGAGACTATTCTGTGCTAGATCTATAAGGAAGGTAAGCAACACAGTTCTCGACAAGCCTATGACACATCCAAACCTATTTTCTTTTAGTTCCCATGTGGTGGTATGGGGCACTTACGCTGGGAGGTACGCGCTGTGCAAAACAATATGACATTCTTTCTGACGGAAGGAGCGACCTGTAGCATTCATCACTGCTAGTACGCCTCGCTATTCTGAATTTCCTTTCATACGCATCTCATCGCGATACTCAGTGGTTTGCGCGTACACTGAACACTCTGGGTGCGTATTCCTGATATCAAGGGCTTCGAGAGGCACTGACTTTGATTGTTCATGGCATGCACAGGTTGCCTTGGTGGGCGCTCATCATTGCCCTCCTGTTCGCTGCGATGGTTCTGCCTTTCTACGGAGCGATGTGGGCGGTAGCTGCGTACGTTCTCGCAAACCCATCGACTATCATTCATGCTGACAATCGAGTCACACAGGTGGACCCCTGGGATTACTAATCTCTTCCAAATCTTCGCGTCGGCATTGATCCCTGGATCATCTCAGGCGAATATGGTATGTGTCTTCATGTGAATATCTCTGAAGCATAGACCTCATGCTGATTTCTCGTAGTATTTCGAGCTATATTCAAGCCAGTCGCTCGTGCAAGCTGCGAGTATGCTGGGCGATCTTAAGTTAGGACAATATACCAAGCGTCAGTAATCCTAATTGAATGTATGTCACGCGTGGGAGCTGACTAGCATATCATTACAGTCCCTCCTAGAGTACGTACCGCAACAGTCTTCCTGGCTCAGCAGCATTCACAATCGCACAGGTCACTTTTGTCGTGCAGATTGCCGGAACAGTAGTTGGGGCTCTCTTGAACTGTGAATGTGTTTGCTCAGATGAGGGCTGGTCGAGGTCTAATGGCGGTTCGACAGATGTGATTATGCAGACTGTCGTGAAGAATGAAAGGACAATTCTGGTGCGATAAATACAGTCTAACAACCTGAGCGAGCAGGAAGTCTGACTTTGGCGGTGTAGCTGAGTGACGAAGGCACTCGTGTGTGGAGTGGGCAGCAGATCCAGTCCTACAATGCGAATGGTAAACATTCTCCAATTTGCGTTGATCAGCTGCAGACTGACATTCATCACAGCCGTGCTTTGGGGTGCTCTCGGCAAGGAGGTTTGTAAGTGTTAGCGAGCACCGAAAGCGAGCGTGCCGGATTGCAGACTCAATTTTCTTATACCAGACGGTCCTCACGGCCCCTACTTCATTGTCCCTCTTGGCATCGTGATTGGGCTGGCTTTGCCTGTCATCCCATATGTCCTATACAAGAAGTATCATTGGTCTTGGTTGACTCAAGTCAACATGGCGGTGCTATCCGGTGCGTAGGATCTCAATATAGACACTCGACCTCGGAAGCACTGACACTCCAACTTGATCTCGCAGCATGCATCGGTGATCTTGCCGGTGGTACAAACGGCTATATCAATACGTGGATGGTCATTGGCCTCACGTCTCACTTTTACATCCGGAAATATCGGGCTGGATGGTTTAGGAAGTACAATGTGAGTCCGCTAATGGCGTGCCTGAAGTTCTGTGGCTGAGATGGTATTCTCTAGTACCTCTTCGGTGCAGCTGTGGACGGAGTATGCATCATATGTAGTTCAGTTAGATCGATACTGATCCATCATCAACCATCAGGGCGCTCAAATTTTCGTCTTCATATTCTCGGTAAGTAGTTCGTCTTATGATCCGACGTCCTCACACGCGATTGACATGCGATAGTTCGCTCTTGCGGGAGCCGGAGGAGTCACCGTAGCATTCCCGACGTACGTGTCCTGGTTCAGTACATCGATAAGGCTGAGCGCTGACTTACTGGGGATACCGCAGCTGGGCCCTGAACCCTATTGGCAATGCTGTAAGTGAACCTCCTCTTTGAGAGTGATCCCATTCCCTGACCCTGATCTTCGATGTCAGGATTACTGCAAGGTGACTGAGCAAGAGGGCTAGGTTGCACGGCTTTGTAGGCCTAACATCGAAGAATTTGTGGTAGAACCTGATAGATTGTGTTATTTTGCGCTCATTCTAAGGATTTCTATGAAATATAACTGAATACAGTTCGATGAGAATCATGAGATAGTTATGTGTTGCTGGATTAATAGCCGAAATTGATCGGTCATTATGTAAGGATGTGGCCGGCGTCGAAAGTTGCAAGTCCGCCGTTTGGAGTGTTGAACGCAGAGGCTCGTGAAGTAGGACACACGCAGCTCTTCGCTGTACATGACCAACGTTTCCGAGTTCCTTCTTCCATCCGGTCTCTCTATCTAAAAACTGTTGTCTGCTCTGCTACTGACCGACATGCCTGTGACCTTAGAGGACGTCAGCGACGTCTTGCTACCGCGTCGATACCAGGAGGAGATCTTCTCGCGAGCCCAAGGCAGCAATGTCATAGCAGCCCTCGACACTGGAACAGGCAAGACATATATCAGCACTCTGCTGATAAAATGGATTGCCGCGAGGGACGCGGGACTGAGCAAGATCATCGTATTTCTGGTGCCGAAGGTGGCCCTCGTTGAGCAGCAAGGGGATTTCATCGCAAAGCAGACACCATTACGCGTCACCAAATGCTGTGGTGCTACGGCTATTGATTTGACAGATAGAGTCGGATGGAAGAAGGAACTCGAGAGTACGGACGTTCTTGTTTTGACAGGTGCGTTTGCGTATTGAGATACTCCATTGACGATGCTATACGCGCCTCCCTATTGTGAATGAGCCACCTTTTTTTCGGAGACAAACGCGTCCAGACCCAGATCTTCTTCTGTACAGTGTATGGCGAGGGTTCCCTGGACGAAAGCATTTCAGAAGAGGTTATGCCATTAAATGTTCGAATGTTTTGCTTGGCTGCTGTCATTTACATATGTGGTTTAGTCAAGCTGGACATTCGGTCATGCCGACACAGGTAGACTTATACTATGTGGGTCCGCCTCGTGCACGCGGAAAGCCCACGTTCTCAGACTTAACCTTTTGACGATCTGATAGAAATCCTTTCATATAACTGTCATGCATGGCGGATGTGTGGCGAAGTCAATGTCTCGCCTTACTGGTAACAGACCTGCAGGCTCACGGCATTGACCACCGTACAATGCAATCGGCTGCCAGGCAGGGCGAGATTAGTAAATGACTAGTCACAATCGCACCGTGCAGCTCATTCGCTCAATGGGAAGAGCGCATATAGCAGCATCGTCTCAGTGTTCGCTCCTTGTACGGTCCTGTGCTAACTTCGAGTGTAGCACAAATATTCCTGAACATCCTCACACACTCCCATTGGAGCCTCGAGAAGGTGTGTTTGAGGACTAATTTCTGATCTTTAAGATCTGCTTTGATTTGGCTAAACATGCAACGTTGCTAGGTCTCACTAATGGTCTTCGATGAATGTCATCATACGCGGAAGAACCACGCATACAATGGCATAATGCGCGAGTATTTCCAATTACCGGTCGAAAAGCGGCCAAAAGTGTTCGGTATGACGGCGTCGCCGATCTGGAATCCGAGGGATGCAGTCGAGTCGCTCGCGACCTTGGAAAGGAATCTTGACGCGAAAGTCATCGCGGTCCGTCAGCACGTCGATGAGCTCATGGGCCATGCACCGAAACCTGAGGAGGTGAGGTACACTCTGCTGCATGGGAGGTATTCGCTGACACCGTGGCCAGTTGATGCACGAATACCCACCACCGCTCGATATCTACCCAGCATACCCCAATCAGACGCTATGGGCTCGGTTGAACTTGGAAGGTCTTCCCCCAGAGATAGACATACCTGTCGAGAAGATCAAGACGCGATACGACGTGACGTACGCAAGCCTGGGCCCGTACGGTGCTGAGTTGTTCCTCTACATGGACATCAAGCAGCGGATCGCGCAGATGGTGCACCGCTCGAGTGCCTTTGATATCGACTACATTTCGATCATGTACGACCCGGAAGGCGACATAGCGATGCATACATCGCTGCCGCCGATGCAGCTTCCTCTCGAAGTGCAGGAGCTGCAAGAAGCGCTGAATGATCACAAGCAATATTTCGAGGATGAGGATGACCCTGATTCGCTGCCCACGATGGTGCATCTGAAGTGGTGCTCACCGAAAGTCCGGGAGTTGATCGATATCTTGTTCGCGCACTATACGTCCACGTTCCAGGGCATCGTGTTTGTGGAGCAGCGCCATGTCGCCGCATGTCTGGCGAAGATGCTGTCCCGTGTCCCGCAGCTCAGCCATCTCATCCGAAGCAGGCAGCTGATCGGACACGGGGCGGCAAGTCTTGCGAAAACACAGATGAAAGGTATGGTGCTGAGAACCCAGCAAGACATTGTGAAAATGTTTCGTGAACGAGAGATTAATCTCTGTGGGTGAAATCTGTGCACGAGCGTGTGCTCTTCTTGCTGAAGATGTTGCATCATAGTAATCGCTACTTCTGTTGCTGAGGAAGGGCTGGACTTCCCGGTGAGTTCCTATCAAGCGTTTGCTGATACCAGGGCTCAACGTATGCTAGGCATGCGATCTCGTCATTCGGTTCGATCCAATCCAACATATGGTTGGCTACCTTCAGTCTCGTGGAAGAGCTCGACATCGGACTTCCAAGTTCGTCATCATGGTACAGCAAGGACATGCAGCCCACATGGAGCGCTATCGAGCCTTCTCCGAGATCGAGCCACAGCTCCGCGAGGTGTATCAGGAGCGCGACGCCGAGAAGGAACCAGGAGAGATAGACGATGAGCCGGATGACCCAGTCGACATTGCCGAGCGAGAACGATACGTCGTGCCCCACACCGGTGCTGTGCTGACCTATAACAGCGCGATCAGCCTCCTCAATCACTTATGTTCGCTTATACCGCACGATAAATTCACGCCCGTACATCTTCCCAAGTACTCCGGAGATTTCACCTCCACGCTTCAGCTCCCTTCGAGTCTCCCATTGCCACAAGAGGGCTTAAATTATGTCGGTCCTACGAAGCACTCAAAGAAAGAGGCGAAGCGGGCCGTTGCCTTCATGGCTGTCAAACGACTGCACTTACTGAACGTCTTCGACGATTATCTCCTTCCGACACAGAGCAGGAATAGCGAAATGAATGAAGACGGGGACGGAAGACCTATACCAGACGCCAGCAAGGTCCCTGACATGATGCAGGTACAGGTTCGAGATCCATGGACGCGGGCACAAACACTGTATTTGCACGTTGTGTACCTCGATGGGCGCCGGACGGCTGGTCTGATCACGGGCACGGTGCTGCCTAGCGTAGAGTTGGTATGTCGCGGAACGTACGTCTCGACGAACGAAATACAACGAGTCAGGTTTGATTCAAGGGAGGAGTGGAGGCAGCGCAGAGTGTTGGAAGACTACATGAGAATGGGGCTCTGGTGGTCCGTCACCGGAAGAGGGATTACTCTTCCGCTGACGTGCTACCTAGTTCCAATCACTCATACGCTGCAGATTGACTGGGATGCCATTGAACGGGCGGTCATTAATCCGTACGGCATATCTGATTGGTCGAGCATCAACGAGGAGGACTATTTCCATACGTTGGTTATGTGTGTCAAGGAACCGGGTCGTCCACTGCTTCTTCGCACAATCCGCACTGACATCACGCCACAATCGGTTCCTCCCGAGGGCTCCAGGGAAGGTGGTTTCCCCACATACAGGGATTATTGGCTGCACAGGTTTACTCGAAAAGGCATTCTCCCTGAGATCCCTGAAGATGGGCCATGCCTGGAAGCGCAGCTTTGGCTCAGGCACACGTCCTGCTCCTACTCTTTGGACAACGGAGCCGATGACCAGTTGTCGCAGTCCACAGTTCCTTTGGCTATGCTATATCCTCTTTCGCTGTGCCGCCGCGCGGAGATCTCGGAGGACATTTACTTCACATTCCATGTTCTGCCTGAGCTGTGTCATCGAATCACAGACGTGTACCGTGCTCGTGCGGCTCGAGCAGAACTGTGTCTTCCACCAATTGCTGACGACCTCCTCATTCAAGCCCTCACATTGCCGAGCACACATGCAACCTTCAACAACCAACGCCTGGAGACCCTCGGAGACTCTGTACTCAAACTCGCTAATGTCGTCCATCTCTACAACAAGTATCCCCATAGGCATGAAGGTCAATTGGACACGCTCCGCCGCAGCTCGGTCTCTAACCGGACGCTTCTTTCCCGGGCGAAAGAACATACGCTGGAAAGGTATCTCACAAGCGAGCCACAGAGCGTACGAACGTGGAGATATACTATGCCTCCCGATCTTGATCCCTGGACATTAACACCGCACAGATCTGCTCTTAGATCGTTCCCTCGCCGCAGCTTGCAAGATTGCATGGAAGCAATCTTGGGAGCAAGCTATTCCACCGGAGGGATGAACATGGCTCTGCGAGCAGGAACTGCGCTAGGTCTTAGCTTTGGAGGACCCCTGTCATGGAACGCTCGATATTTAAACTCCCTCCCCGAGGAGCCTGTATCTAAACTCTTCACGGGATTGCAAGAAGCTCTCGGCTACCAATTTCGTTGTGGCACCCTGCTGCTTGAGGCCGCGACCCATCCCTCGTTCGGATCCAATGAGACGTCGTCTTACCAGCGGCTGGAGTTCCTCGGCGACGGTAAGTATCAAGTAGCATCGGAACTATCTTAACATGATCATACTTATATTGCGTGTCCACAGCACTGCTCGATCTGGTTGTGATCAAATACCTATATGATAAATTCCCTAAGGCCAATTCTGGCCAGCTATCTTGGGCTCGTTCGCGTGCGGTGTGCGGACCAACGCAGGCCTCGATCGCAGTCAGACGTCTCGGATTGCACAAGTTGCTTTTGGTCAACAACGTGGAGCTGAGCGTTGCCATTAGCCGATACGTGCCTGCTCTGGAGGGACTGACAAGCAAGGAGGTTGTACGCAACGCTTGGAAGCACGACCCTCCCAAGGCCATCTGTGACGTTTTCGAGAGCGTCATGGGCGCTGTGTTGGTTGATTCTAACTACAACCTCGAACTTGCCATTAGCGTCGCGGAAAACATTATGTCAGACCTGCTTGAGGTCCTGACGCCAGATTTACCCAGAGATCCCATATCTGAGTTGATGGTGTGGGTCGCGAGAGCAGGATGCAAAAAGATTCGCTTCCGGTTCGTCACTCTCATCGGCATGACAATGTTATGGCTAACCAGAATCACCCCCATAGAAAACATCAGAGCCGGCCAGAGACGAAGAAGAACGATGGTATCAGTATTCTGATGCATGAGCAAACTGTAGTCGGCCCTGTCATCGCACATAACCTCTCCCTCGCAAAGGGTCTCGCGTCCGAACGCGCACGTGTCGTCCTCGCAGACCCCAACTCACCATATTGCCTATCCAAGATTTGTGATTGTGGAAAAGAAGACTCGACAACACAAGCAACTGACGAGAGTGACAGCAGCGAGCTCGACGACGAGACTACGCAGGGCTTCGCGATGCTCGCCCACATTGTCAAGGAGGAGCTGGAAGGCTCGAGCGAATATCAGCAGGCTATAGATGAAGACACATCCAGCCAAAGCGAGGACGACATGCTGGAGGAGCTAGAGGTGGAGGATATGATGCAAGTTGATGACATTTCCTTACTTTCCCTGGATGCTATGGATGACAGTCAGCATCACGCCGAGTATGTGTTGGACCCAAGTGTTGCACCAGTGACAGCCAGCCATTCCCCTCCCACGATTGACTGACTCTCGAGCCTGGTGTCAGCACACCTGGTGCCCCAGGACATCACACTGACCAGGATGTTCTGAGATGCTACCTGTGATGTCTGTGCCAATCCATCAATGCCTTTCATCTCTATTTGCACAAACATGACGGATGGTATCTCGGAACACCCTGGTCAGCATGATGTCCTAGGGCACCGGGTGTGCTGACACTGGGCTTGACTCTCTCCTTCATATGGCTTGTCACATTTGGAAGCCTTGGGAACACAAGACCTCGGCAAGAAGCAAACTGTACTCCAGAGAATAACATCTGTGTCATGATTTCTGTTCCGTCCTGTAAGACAATAGCACATGTCGTTGAGTTGTATTCTGTGCTGTCCACATGCATGTACAGAATTCATATAGCCCTTCCCGACCGAATCTTTTGTTCTAGCTACGACTGCTTTGCGTGCAACAGACTGGAAGTGTCTTGTACAATATTGCTACGTTGCATTGGTTTCGCCAGGCTACATCTATGCATCTTCTTCCGGATCTATGCAGCTATCCTTTGTATCTGAGAGTCTCGAGCTCGTTATCAATTTAAGGCCAGTGCATCGTCAGCCCTCTCTTTTGTTGCACGGCGAGACCGTGGAGATATCTGTTATGACCGACTCCTTATGCGTTAATGCAGGGCATTTATTCGTCGCTGCATGCGGTGTGCTTCGCTGACGATGATCAAATGTGTTATTTTGGCGAAAATGCTTTGCATTTTCTTGCGTGACGATGGGTCATAGACAGAAATTCGACTTGCACCGCACCGTCGAAGACTAACTCGAGAGGGTAAATGGGACTTTTGAAATAGAACGGCATGCAATGGAAGGCCGGAGCTCACGAGGCTATGGCCACTTCCAAGCGTCAAGGACACAGGACGAAAGTTCGGATCATGCCTTGTGGGCAGAGTTGGCAACGCGAATGATACGAGTTTCTGCTTGAACCTGAACCTGCTGAAGATTATGAACATAGCTGACCCTTACGCTGGTGGATAAGCTGGCAGTACCGATGGCGGTGGGGTCAATGCAGAATTTCTCAATTTCAGATTGACAATGACCACGGGTCTTTCGGGTTGCATAGAAAGACTAGAGCGCGAATGGACGATCAAGTGGATGCACCGCTCTCGAGCCATGACAGGCATAGTGAGCAACGGCTCTGTGACAGGTACAAACTCGAGAAGCGCCGGCTGTCGCCGGCAGCGAGAGCGACCAACCTATGGTGCAGATTCCGGCGGATATGTGCCGGCGGATTCCGCCGGATTTCTACCTCGGAAGTAAGGTGGCTCACCGGCAATTTCTTGTAACCTACATATGTTTTGGAATGTCTAGCACGAAATCCTGTAACAAGGTCACTCACCAGCAATCTTTGGTGATGTAGATACATTTCTGAATTGCTAGCATGAAATCCTGGTAGGTCACTGGCAATTTCTGCTAAACTAGATATGCTGTAGCATGAAATCCTGGTAGTAAGGTAGCTCACCTGCAATTTCTGGTGACTTAGACATGTTTTTATATTTCTACCATGAAGTCCTTGTAGCTCACTGGCAATTTCTGGCAATCTAAGACACATTCTTGAATTTCTAGCATGAACTCCCAGCACCAAAGTAGCTCACCAGCAAACTCTGGTAACACAGACATGTTTTTGAATTTTTGGTGAATCTGACAGATTGCTGGATTTGTACAGCGAAATCCATTAATGTTACCAGAAATTGCTGGTGAGCTACCTTGCTTCCAGAATTTCATGTGTAGATTACAAGAATTTACCATCAAGCCACCTTGCTTAGCGAGTTTCATGGTAGAAGCCCGTCAACAGCAGATTTCAGTCTGTAGGCATGTTGAAGAAGTACTGTGCATTATTGATGCTGCTTCTCAAAAGATGGCCTAGATTACCTGCAATTGCTGGTGGGCTATCAGAATTTCATGGTAGAAAGACTGTCTAGGTTACCTGCAATTGCTGGTGGGCTATAAGGATTTCATGGTAGAAAGACTGCCTAGGTTACCTGCAATTGCTGGTGAGCTACAAAGATTTTTATGATAGAAATCCAGAAACACATAGCATACCAGAAATTGCTGGTAAGCTATGAGGATTTTATGCTAGAAATCCAGAAACATGTCTAGCATACCAGAAACTGCTGGTGAGCTATGAGGATTTCGTGAAAGAAATTCAAAAATGTGTCTAGGTCACCAGAAATTGCTGGTGAGCTACCTTGAAAAATGTATTTAGGTCACCAACCACTGCAGGTGAGCTACCAGGATTTCATGCTAGCAATTCAGAAATGTATCTACATCACCAAAGATTGCTGGTGAGTGACCTTGTTACAGGATTTCGTGCTAGACATTCCAAAACATATGTAGGTTACAAGAAATTGCCGGTGAGCCACCTTACTTCCGAGGTAGAAATCCGGCGGAATCCGCCGGCAGATTCCGCCGGAATCTTCATCCGGCAGCAGACCTTGCGACAGACAGCCTCAAAGGCGAAGGATGACGTGAGCGAACGAAAAAGGCAAGATACAAACACAGCCAAACAATGCACCAAAATCCGCGTTACATTTGTGCCCTGGGAGTAACCTTGCTGTCGCAAGGTAATTAGCATGCGGGAGGACAGGGGAGGACACACCTCATCGAGGCCTTGTGATAGCGACGAAGTCACAACATTGAGGCATATTCACGGAACCGTCCGCTGTCTAACGAAAAAAGGGAAACCGGTACCGTAGACCCGTTTCACGCAAAAGTATCATGTGGAAGAACACGAGGTTGCTGTGTCCCTGAGACCAATTCGGTAGGACGCTGATCCGGGTTTACGATCTCGTATCATCAACATTAAGAGGTAGATTGTCATTCGTGTGTGCAATCCGCGGGAGCTGAGCTCCACTGTGCGAAGAGGCAATGTAAAACGTCTATCGTCCGGACACATATCGTCGATGTGTCAAATGATACCAGTCATGTCTGGTGGTATTAGGCAAGTAGGTGACGAACGAATGAAGGTTGGTGGACTGTATCGATTGCCATGCGATCTCGAACGCACGTTCCTTTCCATGGACGTTGAGTGGGGATAAAGACATCGGCGCGGGGCAGAGCCTGTTCCCCTTCTCAATGTCGGCAGGGTGTCTAAGCACGAAAGCAAGCCTCTCACGGCCTCCTGTACCGAGCATCACCATCACTGATGACTAACAAAGTATTCTTGCACAGCTCACCGTACTTCAAAAGCACAGAGTCCAACCGTGGATAAGATTCAAACTATGACTACGACATGATCAAACAGTGCACAATATGGCGAAGACGCACCCAACACCTCAACCCATGTACTGCTGCTGTGGTACCCCAGGAGGCGGAGGCGGCATCATCGACGGGACCATCCCTGGCATGCCTTGCGGCATACCCTGCGGCATACCCTGCGGCATCGGAGGCATGCCCTGTGGGATGAATCCTGCAGGCGGAGGGGGTATATAGCCAGGAGTGTACATGGGCATGTTCTGCGGTGGTGGAGGCATGCCCATAGGCATGACCGGCGGGGGCATCTGCATCGGCATCCCTGACGGAATGACCGTCTGCTGAGGCGTGAATCCTGGAGGTGGTGGAGGCTGCGCTGCGAGAGCACCTGCGAACTGGCCTTGATACGGGCCCTGGAAGCCGGGCATAGGTGGGCGAGCGCCGAAGGCCATTGGAGCGGGAGGCGGCCGTGCGGCGACAGGAAGGGCATTATTTTTCCGGGCCTGTGCGGCGAGGAGGCGCTCGGCGGGCGTGCCGTGCCTTTCGCCCTTGCCCTCCTTCTTGAAGGCATATTGGACGGCGATAGCCTTATTCATCAAGAACTGGCCATTCATAGCCTCGACAGCGGCGTCAGACGATTCGAAGTCTGTATAGGACACGAAGCCATAGCCCTTGGACTTGCCGGTGCTGGGATCGCGAGCGATCTAGTGCCTTATGATCAGTATGAGCCAAGCCAGGGAAACGGACATAGAACGTGCCTTCGCGGTCGTCGCCATCACACCAAATGCGCTGAATGTGTCGTATAAAAGCCGCTCGTCGACGTTCTCGTCCAAGTTCCCGATGAAGAGGTTTGCGCCCACGTCCAATTGCTTCTTGTCCGAGGAAGCCTGAAAAGTAGAGTGGGTTTGAAATACTAGACAGGTGGACAACAGGTGGTCCACGAACCTTATTGACCCTAATGGGCTTTCCCCATAGCTTGATTTGGTTCATAATTTTACAAGCGTATTCCGCATCCTCCTCTGTCAAAAACTCACAGAAACCGTAGCCTTGGTGTGCCATGGAAATGCGGTCTTTTGGGAGATGGACATTAACTGAAAGGAATACCATAGTTAATATCGAGCTGACTGACAGCACAATGAGTGCTCACCAACTGGCCCTGCTTGCAACATCAACTCCCAAATGAGCGCGTCCGAGCACCGCTCATCCAGATTTCCCTGCGAACTCTTCAGTAACAGCAAGACACACGAAAACGGGCGCATATACTCACGAGGTAGACAGTGGCCTCTTGGTTTCTGTCATCTTGTGGTCGAGACATGGTAGTAGCAGTTCAAGTTCAAGCGTAATCCTTGTCGATTTGTTTACGCAACTTTGTCATGTGGCGATTGCCAAATCCGGGTTGTGGCCTCGGGCCGTCTTTAGCTCGAGTCCTTCTCCACTGCAATCCGCAGCCAGGCGGCATTTTGTGTTCTAACGAAGAGTCCCCACTTTTTTTCCTCTTCCATGAATTCATGGAAAGCTCCATAGTGGATGCCACAGCCGCCATATCAGAACCGCAGTTTTTTCTGAGTGCTTCTTGATGCCCCGTGGACGTTGAACGACGGCCATCGTGCACACATATGGTGGTCACCATACCCGCCCTACCCGAGCTAGAAAACTGATAGAAGACGCACGGCGGTGTGTCCCCTGATTTCTGACAGCCATGGCCATTAGACGGGAAACTGCCAGCCCAAAACTGAATTATATCAAGACTCAAGAGCGCTGCGATAACGGAGAGAAGAACCGGACAGCGTGTGGTATCCATCCTGAAGAGAAGAGATCCCCTTAACAGGAATGGCCCAGCACGCTCGATGTTTATGATCTTCCGCAAGTCCAGCGCCATCGAGCGCACTGTACCCCCCATTTCACCGGCACTTCTGCCGTGCTGCGGTGCTTACGCCTTCCAAACCCGCTTAATCCTGCTGGGACCCGCGCATTTTACTTCAGTAGCAACCCGTTCGAAACACGCACATTGGCCAAGTTCGACGTCATGGCGCTAGTACAGCGCGCTTTTTTCCGCTTCTTCTCGCTTCCGCCCGGCCGTTCAACGTTGCCTCGAGGGACGTAGTAAAGTTCAAAAGATGCGGTATAAAGGCACGCCAGCCGTGCAGAACGCACGGTCAGAGTAGCACCCCTGTCCGCTCATCATTGCGCCATGCAGAGCCGCATTCTTCTTGTGCTCCTCGTCCTCGCGCTCGCCTTTATCGCGGCAGCCAGTCCCATCCCGGATGAGGGCACGTTGGTGAAGAAGACTCTCAAGCAGTATCAAATGAAGCGTAGGGATGGCTCTCTCCCTGTGAAACGTCAGGATGGAAAGCCATCAAAGTGAGAGTCTCTGTTTCACTACACCGTGCATTTACTGAGACCCTCTCTCCAGGAAGTGGTTCGCTCCTGTGGCTACCGGTGTTCCTTCCGATTAGTTTCACATCTACGTCTAAGCTGCTAGTACGTCTCCTCGGCGTCTTCGGTGGTCGATGACTGACGTTCTAGTATAGCCTTGCTCAGCTACCTGTATGCTTGCTTTACATTCGTTCGGACCATTACCTTTAGAGCCATTCTGTATTCTGATCCATAGACAGTTCGCTATCAGTAGTACGTCACGATCTACGAGCCCTTGGCGGATCAGTCACCGCCTTATGTCTCTCTCACCCTGTTCTTGTTGACGAATTGAATGCTCTACGTATATGATATCCGATGACAAACATGAAGTTGAGGAGGCACCGCGCGACTCATTTCCAACTCACGGGTATTAGATACCCCCTGAACCCAATTGAGAACTATATGTAGTACACAAGTATAAAATCAACAGGAAACCGGACTTCGGAGTAGCGCTATCGCCGCTCAACAAATCCTAACGAGGTGAAGTCAAAGGCGAAGGATCAAGGAACAGGCAGGGGGCAGGATGTGCGTATTTGAGTTGAGCAGCAATGAAGGAGCGAATAGGAGAAGTATATCAGATCGTAACGCGCGAGAGGCGAAGGATCGTAAAAGATGAGGATCCGACGTAGTCGGCCGGGTTGGTCGTCTTAGACGATGACACATTTATGCCTCTTCTTGACGACAGGTGGCTCAAGCGCAGCGACAATCGCCTGAGAGCGATTCAGCAAGGGACACGAAAAGTACACGGGGGACAGCCAGCTCACCTCATCGAAGACGTTCTTCAAACCCTTCTGCGTGAGAGCCGAGCACTCCACATACTTAACCGCACCAAGTTCCCGGGCAAGTCGCTCACCCTGCTCAGCTGTGATCGGTCTCTGCTTCTGCCTGGCAAGCTTCTCGAGGACCTGAGGGTCATCCCGCAGATCGATCTGCGTGCCAACGATAAGGCACGGCACGCCCGGACAGTGGTGGTGGACTTCAGGGAACCACTTCTCCTTCACGTTCTCGAACGACGCTGGCGATGTGACACTGAAGCAGACGAGGAACACGTCCGTCTGTGGGTATGATAGTGGTCGCAGGCGGTCGTAATCCTCCTGACCTGCGGGGAGCGACGCAGTGCGGATGGGCGGGCGCAGCCAAGTTCAATTAGCGGTTACATCACGAGAAAAGTCGGGCGTACCAGCCGTATCGAACAATCCCAGCGTGTAGGGGTCATCTCCGATCATAACTGTCACCGCATAGTTGTCGAAAACCTTCCGGAAGAACAGCTTCAACGGGCGCCTCCCACAGCAGCTCGCAAGACAGTACGCACGGTTGGCACATATTCACTTGGGAACTTATTCGTGGTGTATGAGATCAACAAACAGGTCTGCGGTGCATGGTCAGCGGGCTCGCTGTCACCTCCCGTGCAGGAAAGAACGCCAGACGCACCTTGCCGACCGCACCATCTCCCACCACCACGCACTTGATTGTCTGCATGATCCTCCCAAAGGTCTATCGCTGCGAGCGAGTCGTGCTGGAGAACGCAAACCGACATTAGCACACAGGTCCACTGCAGTGCGATCGCAATCCGTCTTGGGGCGCATGCAAGCTCTTGCGTCAGAAGCCGACGTGTAATCTGAGGCATAGATTGTGCGCGCCGTCGCGTGGCACAAGACAGAGCGAGCAGCACCTCACCTTTCTGGATGCACGGGTCGGAAAGAAGTACGAACAGCCGTAGAAAATCAAGAAGAATACCCCCGGAGAGATTCTATCTGCGGAATGAACCAGAGCGCGGTCTCAGACCAACCTGCGCGCGTGTGTGCGATTATTGTGCAGGTCGCAGGGACGGCTGGCGGGGTGACGAACCTGTGGTAACGCGAGAGCGGGCGGCGGTGCGACGGCGATGTTGTCGACGGCAGCCACGACGAGCAGGATGGGCGAGTTAGCGATTGCCAGGCTGCCTTGAGGAGTCCTGACAACTGTTGACCGTGTCACCGCCCTTTCTGGAACGCCTGCCCTGAACAGAGGCCGCCACATGCCTTATCCGGACTTACATAACAAATGACATAAATTCCTTCTATTCGTCAAAGAGGAACGATTTCTCGCTCTAGCCAAGTACTGCAGTCGCCGACGATCATGCACGCAAACCCGGGGCTTTGTGTGGCCGCACCGCTGACTGGGATATTTATTCGGGATCCATCTCGAAATGCACTGGGATAATTGACGCGTTCACGCCACAACCGTTGGCGCCCGTACGTTAGCGCGACCGCGGTCTCCCGACGCGTCGCTGTCTGCCACAGTACTCGACCATGTCCACATCCGTAGAGTCATCAAAGTGAGCAGAATTTTGTATTTACTCCCGCTAGCCTAACGGGATTATCTTAATCAGATGGAAACACCTCCCTCCGCCACCAGGATTCAGCGCTACGAGCTCTTCAGTATGTCCACATCCATCTTCCAAGAATGACACGATTTACCCGTAAAGACTCATGACCGCTGCAGTCGAAAGCTCCGAGCAAGTCCTCTACAGTAGCGGCAAAGTCGTCTTATGAGACGCTGAAGACCAAACGAGCATGGGACCTCGCGATCGCGCCCGCAAAGTCGCTCCCGATGCAGGCGTTCATGCTGTACATGTCGGGCGGCGGCGTGCAGATATTCAGCATGGGCATCGTGTTCATGTTGCTGAGCAGTCCGTTCAAGAACCTCGCTGGGATTAACATGGGTGCGCATACATGTTCGTGGGAGTTCTGCGTGGCTCATGCATCATGCATCGATGAAATATCACAGCATTCGCGCCCTTTGCACCGAGCTCTTCGGACCCAAAATCCTTCTCGACACTCGTGCTGCAGAAGCTTGCATACCTGCTTTGCAACCTCCTCACTCTCGCGCTCGGACTGTGGAAGTGCCGCTCGATGGGCTTGCTTCCGACCGGAACCGGAGACTGGCTCGCATTCGAGACGAGAGGACAGGTGCGTGGATCTGCCATATGCAGCACTTTGACCTATGACTGATCCGTTGAAACTCATAGCCCCCGGATATTGCTTTGATATGATCGATCCTGCTGAGGCCGTATCTCGGTTCTAGAGTTAGTTTTTTGTGGAAAGGACTCGTCCTGGTGCTGGTATTGTTCCATTGTTTTGTAGTAGCTAATTGTCACAGTTCCTGCTTCTAAGTATCACGTCAAGGCTATATTCAGCATCAAGTCCGTCTCACCACTCTGTCAGGCATCGTGCTACAGCCTAAGATCGTGGAAGTCGCTATATTCAGAAAACTTCCCTCCCATCATCGTCATCGGCACTTCAATGCATGCGATACTGTTCCAATGTGCATGCACACTTGGACCCACATAAGCCAGCACTCCACCCATGTCCTCCATCCCTGGCGAGCTTCTTGCCATGCGTCTGCTTCCATGTAATCATGCGCGGTCTCAGGAACTCTCACCCAATTGTTAGAAATTTCGTGCAACGCTATTTGATATTGTTGCCATCTCTCACAAACGTTCGCGGCATGCGCGATATGAAACGGAGTCTTCACTACGGCTGAGCATTCAGTCTCACAGATGACTGCTATCTCGTGTTCTTCCATTAGTCATGACCTCACCATTGCTCAACGAGGCGGGACCCCGTAGCCCGCTAATCTCTCCCCGTACTCACAATAGGACACATTGGTGCCGCCGACTGTCGGAACTGTTTCAGATGTGCGCGTTGGCCGCCGCAGTTCGATCAATACGCGCCACCAGGTCGGTCTGATGTGGCGGTATTGAATGGCGGCTATTTGGAACGAACTTTGCTTTGGTCCGAAATGGAAGAGCATCGCACCATGATACATGACGTCCTACAATTGGGCCCCTGAGCCTGGCTCTTCGTTCATCATTTGTAACAACCAACTTTATGGTCAAAAGACTCGTGCAGGCGGAGAGCAAGCGACGGAACAAAAAACGGAAGCAAAGTTCGGTGTGAAGACCGAGGCACGGTACTCACGAGATTGTATTGGGTGATTGGAGCCCAGGGTTAGGTGACGGGAATGTAACGGCAGCTGTCCCCATCGCAGCCGCCACATGCAAACAGCTGTCTCGTGGAGGCTTATCTTCAGCCCGCACATAAAAGCGCTCCAGGACCTCCATCGCCACCATTCGTCCACTTCTTTGCCTATTGTCTACCCCACCTATTGTCTGGTCTACCGAATATATAGCCTGCACATCCGCCCGCCATGAACACCAAGTACCTTTCCGTACTTTTCCTCTCCATCCTCGTCGGCCTCGTGTCTGCGAGCCCGGTCAGTACCTGCTCCCGCCCAGTTTCCTGCATCGACTGACCTGCCGCCCTTCCCTAGGCTCCTGCTCCTGCTGAGAAGCGCCTTGAAAAGGTATGTGCACATCCAAGCAAACCTCCTCCCCGCGGAAGTCGTGCTTATCTGTGGTCTCCGCACAGCGCCAGGGCGACGGCTCGGGCCCCGGCAGCTGGTAAACATCCACATCCACCACCACACGCGTGTATCTGTCCATATGCTCGGTACGCACAGCCATCCCCGCGCGCCCGTCCACCAGGCAACTGACTGTCCACGCAGGATACCCCCACATCCCATTCTCGAAGCTCCTCTTCGTACCATTTCTTCTCGGACCTCGCTTGGATCAGGCTGCGGTGGCGTGGCGAGGGATAGCGCCAGTTCTTGTTGGAATCCTCCGCGTCAGCCTGCAGTATCGCTCCGGAGCTGTATGTGTAGCCGTCTTGCTTGCAATGCAAATGTGATATTGTGCACTGCGAGCATTTGGCGTGATTCGGTGCGTAAGAGGGCTCGAGAGAGAGTATAGAGCGTATCAAGATGCTTCAAGCTGCGCAGCGATGTTGAACGCCCAGAGGCATTGCTGCATCTGCGCACTGCCTCTGCTGCCCGTCATCTGCCCCTTCACCCACTCCTTCCCCATTGGCTTGATCAGCGCCTTCCTCGCGAACCCACGCAGATTCACATTTCTTGCTGTGCTCGTTGCCATGTTCGTCGACCGTACGTGCACCTGTTATCGGTCAACCTGCCATGCTATGCAGAGCAGAGGACACGACGGGACGCACTGACGCCTGACGACGGCGCTCAGCTACTCGCTTTCCGTCTCTGACATGCGCCACGCCGAGTCGTCTATCATCGCGAGCACAAGGTTTGCCGAGAGTAGCAGGCGGTCACGCGTGCGCAGCTGTCCGCCTCCATTTTCGTTGTTCGCGGCTCTTTCTTGTGGCGTCTTCTCGTCCTTGCGAGGCGGACATGCGGGCGCTGATCAGCGAGAGGAAGAACGACACGCAGCCGGCGATGACGATGAGCGCGAAGCGAGGAGAGGCTTCTCCCCAGAACCATGGTATGGAGGCGAAAAGATATCGCAGTTCGGGCTTGGCTGCTGGCTGATCACGCTAGATCCTGCTTCATCGGACTGAAGCTGAGACGAGGCTCCCAGAGGAGACGGGAGTGGTTGCACAGTGGAGGAACTGCCGTCGCGCGCGTCGGCTGCGCTGTGGATAGATCGCCCGCGAGATCGACCACTGCTGCCCTGGCACAAACATCGTGCTCGTTCACGACGTACGTGTGCCGTGCGGGGGAGATAAAGACGGAGGCGGGGCTTAGAGGCTCGTGCGAGGAGGATGCGGAGCGGTGTGGGGAGGCGGGTGCGGTGTAGGCGGTGTAGTATCGCGATGCGGCGGCGATGCCTCTTACGAGAAGGAAAATGGAAGAGTCAACGGCGTGACTAAATGCGCGTAGTCGTATCAGACTCGCAACGCGTGCACGTAGTCAGACACACGCAACTCACGAGCGACGCCGTGCTCGTCACCCACTCCTGCTTCTCTGGCGTAATCGCACGCACGCACGCTGCTCACCGGTATGTGCGTCGTACATGTCCGACGGAAGCTCCGAACACCACCAGGCCAATGTCATTCTCGTCACTTGCAAGCGCCGGGTCTTCCGTAATGCTGTGGGACCTCGCCGACGAGCTCGCCTTTGGACTCATCCATCACGACAAACCGGCCACGGAAGTCGACCTTACTGGATGCTTGGCCGGGTGGGGCATTGGGCAGTTGAGGAGGATGGGTATATGCGCCCTGGGTGGTGTCCCAGACGAAGTAGGCGTGCTGCCCGAGGATTTGGTCAATGTCTCGATAGTATCCGCGCGGTTCGAACCATCGAGGGTGACTGTCAAGATAGAAAGATACGCACGCGACGCGACGTGTTCTGCGAGCTGGACATTGTGCTCGAGGTATGCGGAGACACTCCCAGGCGCGACAAAGTGCGAAACCGGGCGAGCTGATCTGGGTCGACCCGGCCCTGTATATCGTTAAGGCGGGGCATCGATAGACTGAGCGTCCGGGGGGAGGCGCTGTCGAAAATGGTAAGAAGTATGCATCGAATGAGTCGATGGTGACGCATTGCAGAGCAAAGGCCCGGATGAGTTGGCGACTGGCGTCAGAGGGTCACGTTGGGAGGTTCGAGTAGGGTGAAAATCGACGATCCAGCGATTGGCAACCTAGGCATTGCCGACAAGAGGCAGCAGTATCCTGAAGGCAAAATGCTCGGTGTCGGATGAAAGAGACGTGGTGAAGCCGAAAGCCAAGTGCAGAAGCCTGCGTGCCAGCCGGATCGCGCCGCCTACGCCATCATTACAGTACACCTGCTCATAATGCATTCCCTCATAGTGCATAACACCTCATAATACATAGCTCCATGTAGGCACGGAGTTGGTGCCCGCCAAATTATGCATGAGATCTCATACCGCATAATGCATACCCAAAACACGGCATTATGCGTTATGATATCGTGAGAATAATGCCTAACTAGGAAATTTCATGTGCATTGAAGGTTATACAGGATGCATAACACCATTTTTGTCCAGTAATTATGTTCATAAATTATGTTTATGTCCAGATTTGGGGGTACAAAACCAGGTTTGTCGCAAAAAAGTAGTAACAATTTGGTGAAATGTGAGACTTATTTTGTGTGCGTGATAGCCCTACCTTGGGAAGTCACGCATAGTCACACAATGTCACACTATGTGACAGCCCGGTAATGCATACTACCTCATAATGCATAGCCAAACCTGGGCACCGACATTATGCATTATGAGCAGGTGTACTGTACGTGCTTCGCGTCACATCAGCACTGCAGACTTCGCTGTCAGAAACAATGACACGCCGAATTGCGAAGTTCAGCATTAACGGTACCTTACATGACCCAGGAATCAAATTCGAACCCCCTCCTACAGCACCAACTTCGAACTGGAAATTTCTCCGGCATCTCCTTCAAACCTGAACACCTCCTCAAGGTCCTACACAACCTGAGCTCAAATCTTTCATAATTAACATTGTTCTCACCAACCACCACGGCTTCTCCCCTGCACTCCCCTCTGCACCCTCCACAAAGCTTTCCTGCAGCCGGTCTGTCACCGCCCACCACCTGCGGGTCTCATCGTCCTCTGCCAGCATCCTCATGTCCACCTCATAATCGCTATCAGTATACTTGAAGTTGGCAATGAGCAGGTGCAGAGGTGGGTAGTAGTAGAGTAGTCGGCAATGTGGTGCCGAGCAAGCGTGGCGAGCACACCTGGCCAGGCGAGAACGAAGGATCTGTGTGGTCCGGCGGATTTCGCCGGATGCGAGGAGATCACTGAAGACCACCGCTGTAAGCCATTGCAAGGCTGAAGAGTGGAATCGTAAGACGAGCGGTGAGAATCGATAGTTGCTGATGTTATAAATTTTAAGACATGCTGCATGAACTCAGCCCAGTGCCCGGGAGCATTCTTCAATGTTGTGCGTGAAGTGGTTTTCCTTCACACGGACATGTTCAGTGATCGCGCAAAGCCCGAAGTCATTTGTCTTGCCGCATGTATTGTAACCTGCGCATCATATGAAGCTATCCGCCTCTTCAGATGCATCGTGATCTGGCTTCGCACGGACATGTTCAGTGATGCACGTGAACCCCATGTCATGAAGGTCTGAAGGTCTGAAGCTTGAAGCCATCTATCCTCCCGTATGTGTCCTAACATTCATGGTTCTGACTTAAGGCTCCATTTTCACGAGGAAACCTGTCATATCTTGACTGCTTCAGCCGTTTACGGGAAGCTGGTTCTATTGTTAAAGTCATTTTAATTGCTCATTATCTCTCCAGATCTCCACTTGTCCGCGTGCGCCTATCGCCTTGATGGGTGCTTAGTTCAGTAGTCGTGCAGAAAGGCTGCTCAGACACAAGAAACGTGAAAGTGCCACACTTGGCTACTTTATCTGCATCAGTAGGGGGTGCCAACAACTTAGCTGAATGCACAGGCTATACGACTTGAGGGCACCACTAACAGGAATATGATATAACGTGAAAAAATAGTAAATCATGGAGATTATGTGCTACTACAGATTAGTACTATAGCTGTATCATACTAGTGAAGCTTTCAGTCTAGTAGTGTCTTCAGACTGTGGCCTTCAGTCTGGTGCCTTTAGAGTGTTGTAGGATCATATGCTTCAATGCACCAGTGACTTCAGCATACAATCTTATTGTCTATGTGTGCTGGTGAGTTGTCTTTAAGGTGGAGTCTTCAGGTCATTGTCATCAGAGGGTGGTCTGAAGGATGGCCAAGCCATCGCTTCAGAGTGTCGTTATCAGATTGTTGCCTTCCAATGCACCACCTTCAGACGACTGCCTTCAGGCACTGATTACCACTGCAGCATGCAGATCACAGCTGGTGACTGGTATACCATCCAGCCAGCCAGGACAACACATCAGAGTGAATGCAATGCAGTGCGAACAAAGAGGGAATGTGTACCCGACGCGCTTGCCAGCTGGCTTCAGACCAACGACCCTATCCGGCTATTCAGCGTAATCCGGCGGATACTGCCAGACCACGCAGGTTCAACCTTTATGGCCAGATGGCAGCATGTAGCGCTTTGTACTCGGCCTCTGACTCGGGCTTCAGCTGCACGATGGTCAATTGCTTTGCATGTGCATTTTATGAGATAATCACCTTTATGATCTGGCAAGCATGCTATATATGTGGGATAGACATGATGGGAGAACAGAGTAGACATGGGAGACATGAAGCCATTTTCAACCACTTCATATGCTTAGTAAAGGCCATTAAATTGTTAACTTTAGTTAAAATCATTTGTATTGGTCGCAATTGACATTCTGAATTTGACATTTTGCACAGAAATGGAATCGTCGCAAATTACCAAAGCTATATTTGAACTGCACAGAAAGTGAGAAAATTCAAAGTGATGGCATATATTCGATAATGCTATGTCCTGCATCGCTACTTCATAATACGTAAGATCAAACGAGGCAGCTGCAAATTGAGGACACAATTTAAATTCATTGTATAATATTTGTAAGATGTTCGACAGATTCTGAGTACAAGTACAAAGGACAGATTTCAAAACTAGGTACAATTGGCTATGTTCCCGTGAAATTATCAACATTCACCGAAATTGCTTCCCAAGCAATCTCTAGACTTCCTGAGTAGAACCAAATGTCAGAAAGTGAAGTGCAACTCTCACGAAAGAGAGACATCTCTCAGCATCTGTTGAGAAAGCCGAACCTCACGACTGAGGCTCAGGGACAAGCTGAGGTACCGAGGCCCTCACAAACGAGAGTCTGGATCAATGTGGCTGAGGAATTAGATAATATTTTCTAATGTGTACATGTATATATAAAGAAATGCCATATCAGGAAGATCTGCATCATCCTGCATCCTCCTTCATCCCGGATGCTCACCCGCGTTCCGTGTTCCTAATCTGAGGCTTAATAGGTTATGAGTCCTGGGCTTTCAGATTGACCTCGAACCTTATCAATTGATTCCTCTGACATTATTACTTGGCAACATGGCTGAAGAGGAAGAGAGATCGTCGTACCCGCACATTGAGCCCCTAAAAGAAGACTAAGAGAGGTGAAAAGGAAGGCCAGTGGCCGCAGTGGTGGAAGAGAGCTGATGAAAAGAGGCAGAAGAGAGTGGATCGCACCAACAAGGGTGAAGGATCCTCGAAGGGCAAAGAACGCGCATTTGTAGTGCATGATTCTAACGAAGATCAGAACACTGTATCCCTAGGTAATTCTGATGAACATATTTCTTCATTTTATTCATGGATTGCTGATACAGCAATGACCTCGCATGTCACAAACTGACGCAAGATCTTCACATTGTATCAAGTGCTCGAGAATCATACCATCTCCAGATTAAATCTGGAGAGCTTAGCGGCAGTTGACCGTGGCTCTGTAGATCTTGAAAGCACATTTGGAGATCAGAAAGTGCAATTCTGACTCAATAATGTGCTATATGCGTCGCAGACATGCCACAACTTAATTTCGCTTGGGCGGCTGGATGCTGCAGGCGGTCGCATTGTTGCAGAAAATAAAAGAGCTATTCTCATTGATAAAAATGGGAAGATGTTGGCTACTGCCACACGTCAGGGCTATTTATATTTCACCGACAATGTGCAACCATTGTCTAAATCATCGAGCATCATCTATGCAATGCAGGAACATGCTCCGCATACATGGGCGGAGTGGCACCATATTTATGGCCATATCGAAAAAGATGCGCTGAAGCGCCTTCATCGAGAATCACTCGTTGATGGCTTTACTGTCATTCCGAACTCTGACAATTTCATGTGCGAAGTGTGCATCCAGGCGAAGTTTTCCTGCAAGCCATACCCGAAGAGCGCTGATCATAGAAGTGAGATCCCCAGTGAATCGACACATACTGATGTGTGGGGACCTGCTCCAACGACCGCTCTACAAGGTTGGTGATACTACATTACTTTTACTGATGATGCCACACATCGCAGTGTCATCCTTTTTATGAAAACAAAGGACGAGACCTCTCAGAAGGTCAAAGAATATATGACGTACCTCAATCACTGATTGGGTCATCAGTCGAGAATGATCCAAATGGACAATGGATGTGAGTACCTCAATTCAGATCTTACTGATTGGTGTCATTCTCAGAAAATTGAGACTGGTGCTACTGCACCATATTCTCCTCCCCAGAACGGCATTGTGGAGCGTCTCAACTGCACGTTGCTTTCTTTAGCACGTGCAATGTCGTTCGCCCATGCTCTACCTCATTTTCTATGGGCTGAAGCAGTGCGCCATGCGGTTTATATTAAAAATTGTGCACCTACACGTGCGCTCAATGGCACCACTCCGGACGGTAAATGGAATGATAAAAAACTGAATATCACTCACCTTCGAGAGTTCGGTTGCGTTATATGGGTTCTTGATGAAGAACTCAACTTATTGAAGCTTGCGCCACAAGCCAGCAAACATATCTTTGTTGATTACATGGACGGTCCTCAAGCAATTAGATATTATGATGCTAAAATGTGTCAAATTAAAATAACGCGTAATTATCATTTCTTACCTATACTAGAACTCAAGTTAACTGATTCCCCATTTGGGGAGTCGCATCCACCTGCAAATACGCAGCATGCAGAGGAGTCCGAGAGTAATAGCGATGCGCAGATATTCGCATTAGGTGATGATCCGTCCTGAGACCTTGATCCGGCTGGAGGAAGTGATCAGAATTCTCGGAAGAGAAAAGAACGA